TCCAAACGAAAAAAAAAAAAAAACTCAATTCTATTTATAAATTGACTACTCTAATATTAATAATTCAATTAATCATTGTTTAAAATTCCTGAGTCTTGACAAGGATAAGGATAGTGATTGTTAGCAAGAAATTTAATCCATCACAGGTAGGAACCTGTGACCAGAAAATAAAAGTCTTCAGAATTTTGAACTTTCCATGTTGGTGTTGTGAAATTTGTTTTTGGTGAATTGTTAGGTATTGGTTGAAGAAAAATGAGGTTAGGGTTACGCAATAGATGGCGGAATTGTCGGTGACGTGTGTTGAGTGCACATTAAATTGTCGACTACACCCATCAAGATTAGCCGTTGATTTTTTTGTTCATGACTCTGAGCCATTGATCACGATGACTTTTGCAAACATGGGCTTCAGGTAGGTTGCGTAAGAGTGATGATTGGGCTTGAGGTGGATAATGTGCCTCTCTGTTCAGTTTGGATTCGAAGATTGAAAGGGTTTTTTCATGGTCCATTTCATTTAAGGTAATGAACGTGAAAGTGACTCAGATTTGTTGAGAATCTGAAAATGAATGTTTCTTACGTAGCAGATGGTTCTGACAATCGATGTTAAAAGACTAAAAAGAAATGTACAAATTTTAAAATCAGAAAAAAAACTAGCAAAATAAAATAAAACCAATATTTATAAATACAAAGATTAAATTTATTTAAATAGTTGTGATAGAAAATAAAGTATTTTGATATAAAAATGAAAAGCAATAAATGAGTAATGTTAGGAAACATAGGTGTTGTCCCCATTGAGAGAGGCAAGTGTTGGGAAGGATTGGAACTTTTTGGAGACAAGTGGTGGGCACCCAATTAATGAGTGTTAGTTATAAGGGAGAGAGAAGAGGCACTACATTTATTGATGACCTCAGAAACTCAGACTTCAACCTCTATTCTATGTTCATATCAACCCTACTTTGATCAAATCATGATGTCACTACTGCTTTTGCTCCCAATTTTACCAAAATTACTACCACAACTCCCTCCTTTAACTAACCCTTACTACTATTACTACATTTAAACCAAAAATTATTTTTTTAAATATATAAATAAGTTTTGTTTTATTATTTTGTTCTATCTTCAATTTCTATTATTAATTTTTAAAATAGAGATATTTTTATTTTTTAGTTTGAAATTCCCTAATTTTGAGTTTATATATATTTAATTTAAGATTCAATTGGAAATAAAACATAAATTTAAATTTGAGAGTTATACTAAAATTATGATTTTAGTAAAATAGAGAGTAAAAAGCATATTCGAAGATTAGACTAAAGAGAGATTATAATATTTTTAAAATTAAACCGATCATTAAATCAATTAAAAAATGATATAAAATTTTATGAATCAATGGAAGTTAAATCGAAATTTATAAAATTATTTTAATAATTAAAATACTAAAACAATATTATTAAAAATATAACTTTGTTTTTTAGTGCAAATCGTGAGACTTCATCCAAACAATATTTCGTACGGATCCATCTTTTATTGAATAATAAATGCTTGATATAAAGAGAATGGTCTCAGAATTTTAAGTTGAAAATACTTTTTAAGAAAAACAATTCACTCGAGAAAAGTAGGACTAGTAACGGAAAAAAGAAACTTTTACGATTATAAGTATTCAACCAATTACGTAATTAGAGTTTAAAATTTGGTATTGATGAAGATTTAAAAGAAAAAGTGGAACTTTGATAATAATAATTCTACCCTTATTTATATTGGTAAAAAAAGAAGCATAGTGTATACAGAACTTTACTACTTTCATTCTTGCCACGCTAAGCTTGCTTGAAAATGGTTCTTCTGTCTCAGTCTGAATCGAGCATCGGTGTGTGTAAATGTTCTGCGACACGCACATACAAACAAACACAGTACAACTATATTTAGCTTATATACATTGAGGTTATCGTCAGAGTTCACACAACCCTCACCAAAAGTAGAACACAACCTGGACCATAATGCACATTGTGTTACCATCCAACTATTTGACCATGTTCCTTTCTTTCTTTATTGGACATTTTTTCTTCCACTTCTCTATCTTCACAACTGACAATAGATTATGTTCTCTTATCATTTGTGTAACAATTTATAAATTTAAAATGGTTTGAAAATTGCCTTTTGGGTATGTGAAGACATGCATCTACTACCTCAACCTAGGTAGCTAAAGTAGTAGCAGTGTGTCTGTCCCATGTGGCAGGCCTATTCCACTTGTTAGAGCCTTACATTACAGGCCTTCTATTTTGCATTTTATCCATGAAATTGTCCTTGAATCCATTAAAATGGAGAAGAAATACAGTAAAATATAGGTAAATAATGAATTCTGTAAGTGTTGCTTCCATATGGCTAACTCTCGTTAACATGTGCGGCCAAGTGTCGTTATTTTCTTTGCATTGTTTGGCTCTTCCTGAATGCTATTTTCTTATTCTATTTGGATTCCAAACAGACAGATCCAGCATCATGAGCCAATTGAGTACAGATCTTAGGGATTTGGTTGAGTTAATATTATTATATATGGATTCGGCATTCCCATGACGATCGTTTCGATCCAATTAATTGATTATTTTGCACCTGGGTTGTTTGTGTTTCATTCTCCAATGCACACTTTCCATTGGATTTGGCTAACTTGTGTTGACTCAAACAAAAGTTTTCAAAATGTACGGAAGCAGATTGCATATCCCATTTTGAAGATTATTATATGATACATTAAACTAATTACAACATGGGAGAGCCTGCAAAATGAGATGTAATGCGAGTTGAACACATGCACTTGGTAGCCACCGAAATTAAATACTTTATATCTGTTATACAAAAGGTTTTGAATATACTGAAAATTTGACAAATAGTTAAGACAGGCATGATTATAGATTGAAGAGATGGATTTTGTGTGATGGGAAATCTATTTGTGCAAAATCCGAGATGAAAGGGGTAATTTGAAAGGTGTGAGAAGTGGAATAAGGGATTAGTTTAAGAAGGGTATTAAAAAAGAGTACTCAAAGGGATTACTTTAGGAAGTGTTGTTGGGAATGTATTTGGTGTATGGGTTGAAATGCACGTGGAAAAAGTGGGGTGATGGAAAAGTACAAGGAAAGGTGATTCAAACAACATATGGAGACACGTTGCGAAACCAGTTCCGGAATTGTTGTTGTACGGCTACTTAATGTTTTTGCCTAATTCCTGTTTGTTTGTATCACTATTTTAAATGGGAATGTGGGATCCAGGTCTCATTCCCTCGACCTAGGGGCACTATGCCACCACCATCAAAATTTACCCTATTGCAAAATTACATTTTAATTTCTACTTTTCTCATCAAATAGTTATTCATGACTTACAACTGAAATCTGTTTTTGGAAGAAATAATACATACGCAGATTGTACAGAGGCCTTTTACACTGTTACTTATTTTGTTGTAGATTCTTCTGGATAATAAATATGTTTATTTTTAAAACAATTAGCTTAGAAGTCAAACAAAAGATGATTTCTGTTAAATGACAATTTCTAAAGGTCATTTTCCAATAAGATGAGTGACGTATTAATGTTAATATAAAATTCAGTTAAAAGTTGTAACACGGTTGGAGAAAGCAATTCTTGCAGTTGATCAATAGTAAACATAAAAAGCTCTCAAACTCTTGTTACGAATGTAGGATTGTATATATTTTTATTGGCATCCAAGATGGAAAAAAAAATGTCGTGACAATGCTTGAAAACTAATCTTCTGACAACATAATGAATAGAGGTTTAGTATTGATATTTCAATTATGGGGCATATTTGATAGTGATTATGATTTGGAAGCGCAACACTGAAATGATTTAAAAGGGAAGGTGATGGATTGTAGATGTAAATTAATCGTTGGAGGAAAGTTAGTTTGAATTGAGAATGGGATGAAAGGACGTGGAAGACACGCTTGAAATCCATAATAACTTATTAGCTACCTGAAAAGAGAAACAAATGGAAATGGGGCCAGCCACTCAGATTGACGTTACTTATGAGCCAGCAGACATTACATACACTATGATCGTTTCAAAAGAGAACAAGGTCAAAACACAACAGAGGAGAAGCAGTGCTTGCTGTTGCTGTTAATTTTACAGTGGATAAAAGAATAATAGATAATGGCTTCAATCACATGACATGGTAACAATTTTACTTGTTACCAAGATAGATTTAATGGAGCAACCAGAGCAGGTTCCACCACGTGATGTGATTACTGATATAGGTACGTTTGGTTTCTTTCTCGCAAACCCAAGAGATTAAAAAACTAGGTCAAATTTTTACTTAATTAAGATATAAAAATAACTGGAATCAGAGGCACATAAACAGTGAAAAGTAGGAGAGAAAGTGAACAACATAAGAGGAAAAACAAGAAACACCAGCGCATCTCTCCCTATCTCTCTCTCTCCTCCTTTCTCTGCTTTTCATGCCCTCAACACTCTTTGAACCCCAACGCCCTCGCTTTCACTGCAAAAGCTAACCCAACGACCCCAGTTTTTTTATTTTCTTCAACCCCGCAATAAAGCCCCACTTATCTATGTTTTCATTTATCAGATAAGAGACTTTGGTGTGTGGAAGAGAAGACTTGGGCACTCCACCTCACTCTCACAGCTAAACATGCCTCTTCAAAATGTCTCTCAATAATTCAAGAATAATGATCAAAAAAGAAAAAAAAAATAATAATTCCCTTCGACTATCCATCCTTTGTATAAACACTGTACATTTTCTTTATTTCCTACTTATCCCCACGCATTTTTTAATCAAAGCTCAGGGAAACACTCCACGCCGTTCCCTCTTTCTTAACTCTCCCACCATCATATATTCATATTCTATGTAGTGACCACAAAAAATTCAACAAGCCCAACCCCATTTCCTAAATCAAAGAAATAAAGAAAAAAAAAAAAAAATCAGAACTTCATCCCCATCTTCATGTACAAGTTTTCCTGTCCTTCAGCATACCATCACCGTGGCTGTATTTTTAAAACTAAGCCATAACACAACCCCAATTCCAGCCATCTTCTGCCAGCCAGTTGACCGTAGAATGGCATTTCAACCAGTCAACTCCAAGATCATTGCAAAGGGTGTCAAATTTGAAGCAATTTTTCCTGGATGTTAACAACAATCACGAATCTTCACCTTCAGGAAGAAACATTTGAGCCTCGTTCTGTGCCAATCAATCCGCTGCTACCTCTCTTCAATGAATATTCTCCCTACAAAATCACGAAACCTCTTCGAGTAGAGCTTTGGATCAACAGCAGAAATTGAAGAAGGGTCAACTTGTAAGGACTTGTAAGCATGCTCAAGCTTCTTGCTGATATCATAATCTTGCAAAATGTCAATAATCCCAAAATATAGAATCACATCGTAAGTCTCCCCGCTGCGATAAGGGGTCAAATGGCTGATTCCAACAGTGGTGTATTGATCGAAGTCACTCCTCCGTGCCACTCGCTCTGCTCTTGCAGGCATATTGGCTCCTAGCCTAATCAATGATTTCCTGAAACAACAATCCTACTTAATACATGCAATAAATATGCATTCACATTAAAGCCAACAACGATGAATGGTTAAAATAGTAACAAAATAGTAAGAAAAAAAAAACTCGCAATCTCCAAATCATAGATTAAGTAGAGGTTGGAATTATGTTTTTGCCGAATAAGCTAGGTGTATATGATAGATACTGAAAAATCATGAAACAAGAGAAAGTATTGAAACAATCATAATTGACTCGATGAATCTATTGTCAGGCCAAAAATAAATTAGAAATCTAAATTTGAATTAATGAATCGGGACCACAGCCTACATGAACCCCACTAACAACAATTGCCTGCAATACCTATATGCCCACTGACTTGCTAAAATAATGCAAACTACTTTCAATTATTATCATGAAAAATATCAATTAAAATGATAAAATTATTAAACATTAATGCCAAAAGAGTTATAACTTAAGATTGCAACTTGCAAGGCCTGCAGGTCAAAAACATAGTTTGTGATGCTTACATTAGTTTGTGATGCTTAACATATCTATCTATTATTTTCACTCTGATAGAGCAGTAGGACCAATTTTGTTCAGGCACCAATACATTTCCGAAAGAAACAATTCCCGTTTAAACATGGTTAATATTCCAAATGATTACGGGAATATGCCCATCCAATTTAGCAACGGATAAAGCTTTTATAACAATGTAACCTTTTTATAAATTAATAACTGATATTCCATCACATTAATGGCAAGGAACAAGAACATAGGCAACTTACCTTCCAGATTTAACTCGATCTTTATCATGTAGCTCTGCTTCAAGAAAGCGATAACCACGCATGAACTTTTCATTCTGATAAGTATCCCTATTTCCTGAAGGGGAAAAACAGATGAAATTTAAAATTTCTGTACATAAACTCTCGTCTATATGCACTAAAGTGGATAGTGGATGGTGGATAGATACCAGTGCGTAGGAGAAAAGGTGACAACCCCATTTTGTCACACGTATTATCATCACGAAAATGGATGCCAACTAAAAGACTGTAATCCATAATTTTCTCAGTTTCCAAGAACTCACAGTCGAGCTCAATTTGCCTGAACACAATGAGAGGACTACGTCAGAATATATGTATCTTGTTTTCGCTGCTATATATAGATATATATAAAACACAGGATAAATAACCAGCACAGTAACTTACTTGATCAGTTTCTGAAACCAATTTCTTTGTACACGAAACGCAAAGTTGAGATCAAGGTCCTTGAGAGTCGTTGTTTCATCAATGTCCTCCTCAGGTTTATCTGTGGTGCGGCCATGTGAAGATCCTTTCAAGTCAAATCGTCGATGAATTGGATATTCGGAACAGAAAAGATTGCCCATCACAATGAACCGAATCTGATTTTCAAAACAAAATCAAAAGTCAAGTACTGAAGATGGGGCAACCCATCCAAACAGCTAGAACACATCTACCAATCCATACCTTCTGGCCTCCAATTGGCTTGACACAGTGCACCCCATAGAATTTTGTCACAAGTGAATTCTCATATCGAGAAACATGTTGATAATAACTTCGAAGCATCCGAAGAAGCACCTAAAAGTTGAACACCAGAATCAAGATCTATGTAAGTACCAAGCAAAAAATTATTCATAAAAGGTAAGAACCGGAGTAGAAAACAAGATAACCTATCCATTTGGCCATGGGACGTTTCACACTCTCAGAATTTCATTCCAGAATTTAACCAAACACAACTCTATAAGCTTTTGAACAAATGTATCTAACCTTGACTTCAGATTTCTTCACCGTCTTTATCATGAATCTATCATCCTGGGTCAAGTAGAAGATGCTTCCACTTTTCCCAGGAGAGGAAAGCTCTCGAAGGGCATCGTCCCCACATATAGCCAACATGTAATCAGCAGGATCCACCTGAAACAGCTCTCTCAAATGCCTACAAATTCAAACCGAAACTCAGTCAACTAAAACCAGAAACACCCCAAAACATCCAACAAACCACGGCATCCAAAACATTCTACATACCTAAAAACCACCGGACAGTAATCCTTCCATCGAAACTCGGCGGACTGGTGCGGCGGCGTAATCTTCGACCCCTCCGGCGGAAACCTAGTCCAGAACTTCTCCTTCGGATCAAAATCACTCTGCTTAATCTCCCGCAAAGTGGAAGCCTCCTTCCCAACAGAGTACCTGCGCAATTTAAAAGTTAAACACAGAAAAGAAACATGGCAATTCGCGATAACACTTGAAATGAAACAAAAGGCCAAGCGCTTCATTCACCTTATCCCCAATTGCAGATTAAGCATCAAGTCATAATTCTTATGCCCTTTGGAAATGGTTTCCCCGGGTCTCTTCACTTCGCTCGCGAAACAACAAGGGTTCCTTCTCAAATCTTCACAATCCGACGTCGTTCCGTCGCGGTAAAACATGGAAGCTTCCACATTATCGATAATATCGCACGTGATGTCACCCGCTTCACCCTCCGACTCCCAGATACAAATCCTGGGGAAACTCTTGTCGTTATTGACGCTCCTTCTTCCCTCAACGGAGAACCGTTTCACGCTGAAATTCTCGCCCCAGAGCAACCGGTGGTGAATCTTCATAACGCCGTTGCCCTTGGGGACCCCGTTTTCCCACTGCCCCTCGTAACGGTTCCCGTTGGCCCACACCAGAGCACCCTTGCCGTTAATCACGCCGTTCTTCCACTCCCCGACGTACTCGTTCCCGTTCTTCCAGACGTAACGGCCATGACCGTCTTGCACGTTGCGCTTCCACCACCCTTCGTATAAGTCCCCGTTCGCATAGCGCTTCTGCCCGAACCCGTGTTTCCGGTCGGAAATCCACGACCCGCGGTAGGTATCGCCATCGGATCCGACGAAGGTACCGAACCCCTCCATGCGACCTGATTTGAACTGGCCCTCATAGGTCGCGCCCGAGGGCCACGAGAATTTCCCCTTGCCAGAGGCCTTTCCGCGCTTCCACTCCCCCTCGTACATGCACCCATCCGTCCACAGGTACTTCCCCGATCCGTGAGGCACGTTGCCGGAGAAGCTCCCGGCGTAGAAGTCGCCGTTCGGGAGAACGCGCTCCACCGCCGATCCGGAAACCGGCGCCGGAGGCAGCGCCGCTGGCGTCACTCGCCGCGGGAATCCCTGAGACCGGCTCCGTCCCGCCGCCACTACCGGTGGTGCTGGCGATGGCGCGGCGCCGTCGACGTCGCACGCGAGTGCTTCGCGCATTCTCTTTTAACTCTGCGGTGGTGCGAATGAGTGGTTTTTTGTTGACGGCGACAGGTCCGGAATTAGTGCATTCTGCGGTGGCGCGTGCGATGGTTAGAAGGAGAGTCGGGTGTGCATTATTACCTGACTTGAAGTGTCGCCGGCGGTGAGTTTCTCTCTCTGAGATTTTGTTTCTCTATCTCTCTCCTCTTTTTCGCTTTTGTTTTCTCTTTTTGTGCTGTTGGGGAATAACGAGTGGGAATCATAGAGAGCACAGAACAGAAGCGCATAGAAAGAGAGAACACATCAGAACAGAACAGTACATAGATGCCAAGTCAGGGAGTGTTTATTATTTTCAGTTTTAACCAAAATAAATAATAAATGTTATAAATAATAGTAATAATAATAAGCATTAATTAAAATTTAAAATGTATTTAAAAAAGGAAGTGGGAACAGGAGAGGAAGGTGAAAAGAGAGTGTTTAATGAGACAGCTTTGGCTAGCTGAGTTGTTTGTGAGTAATTAATTGAGCAAGAAAAGGTTTTTATTGTTGTGTGACGGATCTACCCTCCTCCTTCTCCTTCTCCTTCTCCTTCTCCTATCTGTAATTCCTTCGGTTTCATCCTCACCTAATGGAATCTACTATCATTGCTATTGCCACCATCTCCTTTCTTTCTCTTCTTTTTAATTCATCGTAATTTTATTTTTCTATTACTGTGAATGGCTGAAATATTTTGAGGCTTTGTAGATAAACTATGAAAAATGAGTTTTGTCTTTGTTGTTAATATTATATTATGGAGTATCTTTAAGCAAGTGGTAATAATGAAGGGAATTTGGAAAACGAAAACGAAGGCTAGTTTTAGGTGGTAATTAACCAGGCTGTAGAAAGTGTAAAATGATAATTGACTTTATGTGAGCTTTGGGAATGGGGGTGGCAAAATGGAATTATAGAGGCATGGACCTATTTCACTTCCCATGGCCCACTTTCACCACTCCCTTCTCCAATCTCTCTCTTTTCTTACCCTTCATTATTATAGGTTAAAACTTAACTCTTCTTTTATGCTTCAAACTTTAACTTAATCATCAAAACATTAAATATATATTCTCTTAATTAACATTCTAACTTTGTTTCACACTCACACATCATAAGGGACTAACCCTCCTTCTCCTTCATTATCACGTACCATCTTTCAAGCCATCAACAATGCATTGCTCCACCAACAAAATCTAACCATACATTGTACAAGGAAGAAAGCCATCTATCAATACATTGTACGAGGTTAACATCACTTCTTCATGTGAATATTAAAAGCTACTCATATCTATCATCCATTCACTTTACTATTATAATCACACCATCACATCCTCCATGATAAATAATAATATGCCAAATCTTATTATTATTATTCCAAAATACTTCATACACTATTATTCTATATATAGGAGCCAATTTTTTTTTGACAAAAAGATAGGATAATATATATATTAAATTAATTATGATATAAAAAATATATTATATACAATTATTTAAAAATTATAAATCATTTACATATATTTAATATTAACATAAAGTAAATGTATATAAGATTAAATACATTTTAATTATATTTAATAGATATTTTATAAATCATTAGTTATAACATAATTTATATTATAAGTTACTCAATCATATTTTTAATATTATTTGTTGAATTTAAATTCAATAAACTAAAATTTATTTTATCATATATCGTATTTTTCCTTACAAAAATGATTATATAATTTTTTTTCATAAACATCTTTAAAATTTAACTTAATTTTTTTTCTACACATTTTAACATCAAAATTGAACATAATAAAAGATTAAAAATAAATAAATAATTATATCAAATAATACACATGATAATATATTATAATAATAAACAAAAATAATAAAAAAATTATTTACTTCAAGAAAAATATAAAAATTAAAAAGAAAAATATACAAATTTTATATTTTAAGATGAAACTGTGAAAGAAAAAAATATACAAGTGAAATATTGATAAAAAAAAGGTAGAAATATGAAAATAAAAGATGAGTATTTGAAATTGAAGTATAGAAAGGGAAAGGTAGAAGAGAAAAAAATAATGAATGAAAAAATATATAAATATAAAATTGTGTGAGAAAATGAAAATAAAAATAATTATAATTATTATTACTATTATTATTATGATTTAAAAAATATAATGATATAATTTTTATATTAAAAAATATTTTTTATTTATTTTTAAATTTATAGATTATTTTCTTTATATATATATATATATATATATATATATATATATATATATATATATATATATATCATCGACATAAAAATTTAGGAGCTTTAACATTAATATGGTTGTTATAGATATAGAGAAAGAAGTAAAACAATACTTATATCAGGTGAAGAATAGCAAAAATAGCAAAATGTAAAAAAACAGCTTTCTTTTGTAGCAATTAAACATGAGCACATGTATTAAATAGTTTATTCATCAAACTATTAATTTCATTAATTCTGACACAATAATACTCGAAACTCAATATAATTTATACAATATGAAACAACATTTCTGCATAAATATATTAAAGACATTCTAATAAAATCTACAATTTTCATAAATTATAATAAAAACCAGTTCAGTTCTAAAATAAATACGCACGAACTCATATTAATTACGTGCAAGTTATTTGTCATTTTCACATATGTTAAACAATGTTTTTCAAATCAACACACTTCTTTTTCAAAGTTCCCACATGTTGGTGTTATTCTTAAACTTTTTTTGTTTTCCACAGTTTTCCGGAATTCTCGTAAATTTTAAAGTAATAAGGAAAGATCCAACATGCACGCACGAACTTCTGTAATAGAAAAGTCATCAGCAATATTAAGGATATTGAAATATGTAAACGTACATCCTTTTTTTAATAAAAAATATTTCTAACATAAACACATATAATTTTCGAAATTCTCTTCTCATTTCCACTACACGATCGAAAATATGTGGAAATGCAAAATAAGAAGATGCGTGTTGTTGGATGGTGGTGTGGTGGCAGCTCTCCCTGGTACAACATGATGATGGGAATGGTGAAGAGTGAGAATTCCGTTATGTCCAGTGACAAGTCTCGGCGGTAGTAACAGTGAATCTTCCAAAATAGAGTAGGGTTGTCCCTACGACCATGTCCTACGTTAGGACCAGTTAAGTCAGTGTCCCAAATGGCTACTCTAAATAGCTTCAGCTCGATAAGATTTCACATTAAAACCAGTGTTGGTTTCGGGAACATTACTCATCACGCATCACATTCTGGTTTGTTTGCTGTAATGAAAAGGGAGAGGAAGGAATTACAAAGAAACGAAAACATCAAAAAAATAATAATTTTTTTTTTCTCGTCTTGTAGAACCTATACATCAAACATGAAAGGGAAGATACACAATATACATGCACTTTCATTCTTGTTTCCTCTCATTTTGGAAAGAAAATGGAACAGCTAGCTTTGTAAAGGAATAAAGATACATTTTTTTCTAACATTTGGGTCACTTTCATGTATATATATATATATATATATATATATATATATATATATATATATATATATATATATATATATATATATATATATATATATATATATATATATATATATATATATATATATATATATATATATATATATTCTTCTTTTTTACTTTTACTTTTATATAGTAAAATAATTCATATACTAATTTTTCTACTTTTTTTTTTGTATTGATTTTTATTGATGTTGAATCAATAGAACGGTATATTAAATTTTGATTTTCATATCTATTTTTATATTTTTATAATTTTATAAGTTTTTTTAATTTAGAATATAAAATTTAAAAAAAAAAGATATATATTTTTTAAGATTTAAAATGAAAAATATAATATTAATGAAATACCAATATTAAATTATTATTTTTTTCAATACTAATATTGACAATAATATATATATAAAAAAATAGAATAGTGAATAAATTAATCAAATTATTCATATTAAACAAACTTATATTTTCTTTTTCTTGAATGAAACATATAACGTGTTGAGATAATATATAAAATTAGAGTGATATAATAAAAAGTACATTTTAAGATAAAGTTATATTTTGGCTAGTTTATTTATTTAATGTTAATTAATTTTAAGTTGAAATTTGATACAATGTTAATTTTTTTTATCTATGATAATAGGCAATTGTTTTAGTTGAGAAAATACTGAAGTTTGTCTCAATTATTTTTAATAGAGAAAAATGCTAAAAAAAAACTTCTACATATTTTATATTAATTCTTAAAACATGACTAATATATTTATTGATATTTTAGTTAATGTAAGTTAATTTTAAATTCAAACATAACAAATTATTTATTGTTTTAATTTCACCATAAAATGTTAATTATAATTTTCATAGTAAAGTTTATATAAATAAGATATTACTAATGTTCAGACCTAGTCATAATAATTATTGGTTAAGTATTTTGAAGAGATTAAAATAATTTGATAATTTATTTTTTGGTGAAGGGAGTGTATTTCATAGGAGGATCCAACAATGATTAGGGATCATAAAATGGGTCAGTCCGTCCCGTTTTGGTCCGCTCTATCTTTGGTTCGTCAAAAGTGGGGGCAGGACAGGCTAGCCTGCTATAGTCATGGCAAGTAACAGGTCTCTGCAGTGGCGGATATTATTGGGAACCGAGGGGAGCCGTGGTCTCCCCAATGTTTTGTAACTCCCATATAATTTATGATTTTGGCCCCCCCAAACTTAATGAACATTTAATATATTTACTTCACTACTACAAAATATACTTTCAACGTCGCCATTTAACGTCGGTTAAAGCTGAGCCGACGTTAAATACACTTTCAACGTCGGTTGGTTAAAAAACGACGTTGAAAGTGGAATGTTGGACACATTCTACGTCGGTTCTTAGTCAACCGACGTTGAATGTGTTTTCACCCAAAAATTCTCTTAATTTCAAGAATTGTCACCGACAGATTCGAACCCAGTATTTTAGAGTTGAAAGTTGATACTCCAACCACTAAACTACTGTAATTTTCTGATAATAACTTACAAATTAATTATATTTATATATAAATAAATATATATCCGTGTAAATATATATATTTTCTGGAAAGTGTTTTTATTTTTTTTCAGCCAAAAATTTACTTAAGTTAGAGAATTGTCACTAACAGGATTTTTTGAACCCAGTATTTTAGAGTTGAAAATTGATACTTCAACCACTAAACTACTATAATTTTTTTATAATAATTTACAAATTAATTATATTTATATACATATAAATATATATCCGTGTAAATATATATATTTTCTCGGAAAGTGTTTTTATTTTTTTTCAGCCAAAAATTTACTTAAGTTCGAGAATTGTCACTGACGTGATTCGAACCCAATATTTTAGAGTTAAAAGTTGATACTCCAATCACTAAACTACTGTAATTTTCTCGATAATAACTTACAAATTAATTATATTTATATATAAATAAATATATATCCGTGTAAATATATATATTTTCTGGAAAGTGTTTTTATTTTTTTTCAGCCAAAAATTTACTTAAGTTAGAGAATTGTCACTAACAGGATTTTTTGAACCCAGTATTTTAGAGTTGAAAATTGATACTTCAACCACTAAACTACTATAATTTTTTTATAATAATTTACAAATAAATTATATTTATATACATATAAATATATATTCGTGCAAATATATAAATATAGAATATATAAATACAAATATATTTATATATTTTGATATATTTATATATATTTATATAGTTATATAGTTATATATTTATATGTTGGATGTGAAGGCGTGTTCGAGGGTGAAAGTGAGATTGACTCTCGCTTGAGTGAAAATACGTTAAAACTCACGGAAATTCACTCGTTCAAGCCTCGCTTGAGCGAAAATTGGTATTTTTCGCTTGAGCGAATAATGCGTTTCTCATATTTATTTTATATCATTAATAAATTATAAATATTATATTCTGTCATTAAATTACAAACCCATATAAAGAGACTCGCTCACAAATTTGACATCAAATTTTGAAAACTCACTCGACACACTTTCACCTTCGAGCGTGCCCTCACATCCAACATATAAATATATAATTATATAAATATATCAAAATATATAAATATATTTGTATTTATATATTTATATATTTACACGGATATATATTTATTTGTATATAAATATAATTTATTTGTAAGTTATTATCAAAAAATTCGAGTAGTTTAGTGGTTGGAGTATCGACCTCCAACATTAAGGTACTGGGTTCGAATCCCGTCAGTGATAAAAAATTAATTTGGTAATGCTCTAAACTTTAAAAAAAGATGATAAATAATAAAAATATAATATAAAAGAGAGGAGAGAGAGGTTGGAAATAAATAAAAATTTTCGATTTGAAAGTCAGGACTTTCAACGTCGGTTCTATTTAACCGACGTGGAAAGTTAAAATCAGAAAGCCTTATTTGTAGTAGTGCTTGTATATTTACAATTTTATCCTCTCAGTCCCTCCTCGGTTTTGTAACTCTCATATAATTTATGATTTTATCTCTCTCTAACTTAATGATCATTTAATATATTTAAGTATATATTTATAATTTTATCCTTTTACCCTTTCATCTTCTTTCTTCTTTTTATATTTATTTATTATTTATTAATAATATATTATTTGGCCCCCCAAAATCAATGGTCAAGATCCGCCACTCTCGGCCAACTTCTACCAAAGGACTGATCTGTCCAGTCATATTTCTTATTTTATTTTATTATTTTTAAATCAAATCTTTTGATAAATTTAATAATAAAATTATCATTGTAAAAAATTTAATATTATATATATATTTTTTTCAAGTTAATAATATAAATTGATATATTAGTTTAATAAATTATATTTTAAAACAATTAAATTAAGATAAAATTTATATAATAATAAATATATGTATGTAACAGTAAAAATTTATTAAATCTTTATTTTTTATATTAAAAAGTTTAAACATATTTTCAATATGACACTTTAAGTGAGAAGTTCCATATTTTTTTCACTAATTATGTATTTTGTGTTACAACTATTACACACAGTTCTTTCTTTTTCATCCTTACACACACCAATCCTAGTAAAAAAAATTTTAACAATCAGATGTATTAGATTTATCCTTCTTGATGTCCGACTTAACATTTTCATATTCACTTTTATTTTTAATATGTTGAAACTTAACTTCATTCTCAATTTTATTTCCATTGACGACATCACCAAGACCACAAGTAGGTTTACTAATTGAACCATCCATTTTTTGTTTAAAATTAAAAAAAAAAAACTTTATAATTTTTTCATACTGATAGATAAATACTAAGAGTTGTGAGAGAGAAAAAAACTAAGAGAAAAAAATGAAACGTTAAGAAAGTAACAAATATAAAAGAGAGTAAAAAAGTATGAGATATATATGATTTTTACCTTATAAATAAGGATGAGTAAGAAGGAGATGATGAGTAAGAGGAGAGGAGAGAGAGAGAAAGGTTTATGTTTGAGAAAAAAAAGTGTTTCCCATAATGTGAGTTTAAGTAATTGCAAAACTTTTTAAATCCTCTTAGTAGTGAGATACTGAGACTTTATGATTTTTCTTTATGAAACACTGAGACTTTTAGAATTATCTTTTTATAAATCTTTATATTATATATTGTCTTTGTAACTCTTTGTATTGTACTACAATAAAAAAAATTATTAGTAAAGTGGGTCGCGGGCTGGCCCGCCCTGCCCTTCAAGTTGGCCCGGCAGGCTTGGTGGGCTACAGAGCGAGCTAAGACAGGCTGAAAGTACTAACCCGCCCCGCGTAGGACTGACCCGTTTTGCCATCCCTATCAATGATTATGATAAAACTGATGTAACATACGATGCAATGATCATTTTATAAATAATGAGAAGAATACTACATCGATTGCTTACATAATCAATGTAACATCTCTTAAAGATATCTATAACGGTGTGTTGGTTTCCTTTAAACCCCATTACTCTCATCTTCGCCCCTCTCCCTCTCTTTTCACTCTCCCTAAAGCCCACTCTTAGAATAGTATAAATGTGTGCTCCTTCTATTGTTGTGGCCATCACCGCCACTATTATCGTCGTCAAAACAATTTTGCTCATTTGTCGTTCTTCCTTCATCTTGATCTCCATCACCATCTGTTGGGATGATGAAAATATTACATCTTGAAAAGTCTCACATTACATTGGATATGTAATGGAATGAGTGATAGTAACTATATAATGAACTTAAAGTCCATGAGGTTTCTCACCTCAATTAAAGATATTTTAAGCTTGTATTTGACTTTTCTTATACTCTTGTAGTAGAGTATTGTGAGGTTTAGTTTAAATTCTTGCTTAGGAGAGTGTGGGTGTACTTGGGGTCAAGGGCATGAGAGAGTTGTCTATGTGTTGTAAAAAATTTCACATAGTGTTATTTTCTGGTTATCATTAGATAACGGTCGTGGTTTTTTTTTCCGATTTTTGGAGTTTCCATGTTATATTCTTGTGTTGATTGTTTTTCTTTTATTTCTCTATTAGTAGGGTAATTCTCGGGGATAAATGGTAATGTTCTTTATGATGTTTTTTTTCATCAGAGTAGTATCAAAGCTTATGGTTCAATATGATTTTCTTAATATGCTCTGTGGTTGCAGCATAGTCTGATCTTCCATATTAAAAAATATTAATTTCTTCTTACTAGAGAATGATCCTTGATTGATAAAGTTGCAATGTCATTTGCAAGTACTGTCAAATGTGACATAGAAAAATTGGATGGAATGATCCATTTTGGCTTGTGGCAAACTCAAGTTAAAGATGTGTTGATACAATTAATATGGATTACACAAGGTGTTGAAAGAAAGAACCTCTGACATGGAGGAACAAAAATGAGAGGAACAAATTTGAGAGCTGCAAGTGCAATTCGCTTGTGTTAGGCCAAGAATGTTCTTGCAAATGTGCTGAAGATGTCAATGGCAAAGGAACTTTGGGAGAAACTCGATTGTTATTGAAGGAGAAATTTCATAACTTACGCATGAGTGATGATATGATACGAAAGTCTCTTATCATCTTACTAATGTTAATGAAATTGTCTCTGAATTAAAGACTATTGGAGTCAAGATTGAAGAAGAAGATATAACATTAAGACTCATTTAGTCTCTTTCGTCTTCCTATGAGTTTATAAAGCCTGTCTTGATGTATGGTAAGGAAACTTTGAGCTTTAACGAAGTTGTTAGTAAGATTTTTTCTGAAGAGAGAAGAATGAAAAACATGCCAACAAACTCAATGATAACTATTAGAAGTGGGACACATGAGAACAAGAACCATAGAAAAAATGTGGTATGTTGGAAATGTGGAAAGTCTAGGCATGTAAAGAAAAATTGTCCAAGTGAAGAAACATCACTAAACTGTAAGTCAGATTCAGAGATTGTCTCTCTCATGTTGGGAAAGGGTGATCTTTTATAAAAAGATGAGTTAAGTATCCTTATGACATAATCACATTGTCATGGAAAAAGGTGAGTGTTTACTAGTGGTAATTGTGCAAGGGCATTGACTAATATTGATGCAAGGTGTGTGGTGATTATACACGGGCGTTGGTTAGCATTAATGCAAGTGTACAGTAAAGAAAATTATTGGAATGATTTAATTTCGAGTGAGTATACTTCTTATGGTGGAGTATGGATAATTGTTGGTGTAGAAAATGGAGATAAAAAGGAAGATGTGTTTATTTTAATCATAGTGGAAATTGTTGAGTTGATGAAAATATTATATCTTGAAAAGTCTCACATCACATTGGATAAGTAATGGAGTTGGTGATAGTAACTATATAATGAGTTTAAAGTCTATGAGGTTTCTCACCTCAGTCAAAGACAATTTAAGCTTGTATTTGACTTTTTTTATACTTTTGTAATAGAGTGTTGTGAGGTTTAGTTTAAATTCTTGCTTTGGAGAGTATGAGTGTACTTGGGGTCAAGAGTATGAGAAAGTTGTCTATATGTTGTAAAAAATTTTACATAGTGTTGTTTTCTGGTTATTATTAGATAATAGTCATGGTTTTCTCCGATTTTTTAAGTTTCCACATTATATTATTGTGTTGATTATTTTTCTTTTATTTCTTTATTAGTAAGGTAATTTTCGAGGATAAATAGTAATGTTCTTTATGACGTTTTTTTCCCATCACCATCATCTTCCACCATGTTCGTTATTGGCTTCCTTTCACGGGTCCTTTCCAACTAACACGCCACCGTCATTGTAGGGAAGCTCTATCCATGTGTTTAGGATCACAAATGTTTTGGAGCCAAAAATTGACATCACCTTCGAAGTCTTAACCTCTAAGGTTAAGAAAAAACTCTATTAGACGCCCCTTCTTCAACATTTCCAGGGCTCGCCAAGTTTTCTGGCAAGTGGCGATGATTATCCTAGAGCGGTACCTCCTCTTCACCTCATCCCAACTCCTCTAATGATGACGGTGCCACAATCAAGGTTGCACATCGTCCAAGGGGTTGGCTTCTCAAGTGTGCTTGGGCCAACTATCGGTGTAGGCATTCATTTTTCGATGGTCATGGGCATGAAGGCAAATGAGCCAAGATTATGAACCGTCACTCAACCAAGGCTAAAGGTTGTGTTGCTGCTTAATGGGAAAAGAGGTCGTTGTAGAAGATTTTGTGCAAATCACATCCTTTTAAATTTTTGTTTGCTTTGGTTTGTGTTTGTTTGAACTTTTCTACTTTTTTTGGTTGAGATTAGTTTCAATTATTATTGTCCTATTGTATTTGGAATTTTGACGGTATTGTTGGATCTTAATGATTATATCTCTTAGTTCTTGTCTGGGTTTTTCTTAATAAAATATTTGATATTATTGTTATTACGACTGTTGAATATTTTCTTTAGTTGGTGTTTTGCATGTTTTTATTGTTGTTATTATGATTTGTGACTCTTTTTTGTTGTTTTCACCCGTCTACCCTTTCCTACAACATCGGTTCACACCATACATGAAGTGATATGTCCCATACTTCATCCATTATCGGTTAAAGTTATAATCAATGTAGTATGTATCCTTTCTTACACTCATTTTGATTCCACAAAATATATTCCACGTCAATTTTCTGTATAACCAATTACATGACACTTTTACATTGATTACATAATCCATGATAAAAGTAAACCCTTTCTACATGGATGTATTTATATCGATTATTGAATTGATATAAAAGGTTAAAAATAAATAATATTAAATTATGTAATTGCACTCGTAATTAAATGTGTAAAACATTTGTAAAATGATTAATAATTAATTTTTCAATAAATTTTTTTTCCTTAGTTTCTTCTTCTAGTATATTTTTCATACAGAAGATACTTGTTATTGATTTTAGTTTATTTATGTTCGTATAAAATATTTAAAATGATGGTAAAAAATTATATAGATTCATTTCACCCGAAAAAAATTAGTGAATTTTTTCATCTTAACTAGTTTTACTGATTTGAACTCTTTAGCATGATAAATAGATTAAATTAGCAATGAAAATGCAAATTCAAGCTTAATATGATTTATTTTTATTTAATTATATCCGTTTTGTTTTGGTCTAACTAATGATGAATTGGGTTAAATCCTTTCTTTGAATTATTTTTTATTGTTAAAATCACAAACAATTTGTTTAACAAATCAAGTGATCAAGTTTAGTTAATGTCCATTTTAAAGTTAATATTCTATGTACATTGAGTTTTATATATAAGTTTTTCTTTATTTTATTTTTTTTTATAAGTGTATTGTATAATTGAAAGACTATTATTCTATCTCTCTATCAGCATGTTATATATATATATATATATATATATATATATATATATATATATATATATATATATATATATATATATAAAAAGAGTAGTTCATGATATTGTTTAAACTATGTGTGGAATCAAAATGAATGATCTAATATAATATATAACATTGTCGTACAGGTAAACAAAAATATGAGTCAATCTAATCTATATTATAAAATAGGTCAAAATTTTTAATATAACTTGATTTATATTAGACATAACAAACTAATTTTGAATTGATTGACTTTTTTTTAAATATTAACGTACTTATACAAAAATAATTAATTAAAAAATATTTAAATAAAAATAAAATTTTAAAATATTAATATATGTTAATTAAATTAATTTTTATTTAAGATATAATGATTTAATATATAATTAGAAGAGAATACATTAATTTAATATCAAAATAAAAGTTACAAGATGTACTTTTTATTATCATTATTTATTGTTAAGTAATTTATTATTCTAAAATAAATGATTATTGAAAATTAATTATGATATTTATTTTTAAAATAAGTAAAAAATTAATTAAATTAATTTATAATATATATTAATAAAATAATATAATTTTTTATTTAAAAAATAATTATTATTTTATAAAATAAATCTGTTCATAAATTTAAGAATTAATTTCAACGTTCCAACTAAACTAAGTATGCGAAGATCTAGGTTAAGCTTGAATTTAATCTCCATCAAATTTTGTTTCGTAACATCAAAGATCATTTTGAATATACTTACATCTTATTTTAAATTATGATCACATTATTCAAGTTGGACACACTACCTACACATTAATTGCCCTACAAAAAATACATAAAATACCAAATACCCAACTCAACGTTACAAGGTAAAGAACCATAAGGTGAACTCTAATACTAAACAACATTAGGATGCTTAACACATTTATACGTATTTATATTATTTAAAAGTTAAGAACTTTCAACGTTGATTAAAATTTAATTGAAGTTCTTAACTTATTTTTTTATGGTTTCTTTATTTCATTTTTTCCTCTCTTTTATCAGTTGACTTTCAGAACTAATTAATTTTTTCTTTCCAATGTTAAAACTTAATTTAAGTTCTTAATTAGTTTTGAATGGATTTAGTTGTCTCTTTTACCAGATTATTTTTATAATACTTGTTAGTTGTATGCATGAATTTCCACTCTTATATCTCTGAACTATATATAAATGACATGAGAATTAAAATCTTCTTTAAGAAGAACTTCATTAAGAACTAAAATTTGATATATTCTAATATACAACAACTATATATAATACCATACTCAAACACTTGAGAGTCCAGAGAAATATGAACTTTCTGACTTCTGAATTAAGAAAAACAAAATCTTTTTTTCTTCCATGTATCCTTCCTTAGTGCCATGTTTCCCCCTCGACATTCTATCTTGAATTCAGATGGGTCATACAAGATGATGAAGTTGCATCAATGTCGAAATCATATACATATGTTCCACAAGGTTTTTGTTGTAGACAAAGGAATCCAAGGTTTTGTTGTAGACAAGGAACCCAAGGCTTCAAACATTTTCATTACACCTTGGTTTGGTTTACGTGATTTTCTTCATGATCGTCAAGTACTTTGTACATCAATAAAGTTTGTCATGTTTAATAAAACAAGAAGAAGAAAAAGAAAAAACTCTACGGCAAGATTGATGTTGTTTTTCAAAGCAGAACTAATGGGTAACTTAGTGGTCCTCCTAGTTAGGTCTCGTATGGGAATTTTAGGGTTCAGAAATTTAATTTTCATGATGTTTATTCATGGGTTTTGGAAGATGATGCCCAAGATCCTCTTATGTAGATGATTTAATTTTATTCCAAGAGTGCCAAGTGTTAGGATCAGAGTACCAGCATAAATACACACAATTAAAATAGAGACGAGAAAAATAACCCTGACAATAGGCAAAAATGAAAATTTTATAATGACCACTCTTTCCTTTTACAATTGGAAATTACCAATACTAGGAAAGTAAAAGAGAAAGAAGGAGAAATATTTGGGATGTATGAAATAAGGGGGGAGGGGCTCCTTTTATAGGAAGGAGGAGAGCCCCCAATTGAAGTTCCCACGGATGTGGGACTTCTTTCTTCACAATCTCCCACTTGAAGATTTTGATGAAATTAATCAAATCTTCACACTATGTCTTCTTCTCTCACATCCATGTTGCTTATGCTTCCGATAAGCCATAGAGGGATCGACTCCATATAAACTTGTCAGCGATTAACCGGCTTTGTCATTACATCTCGCTAGGTTCTTCTCAGGTGTGGATCTTCGTAAATCTACACTTCCTTCTTCTACTACTTCTCGAACAAAATGATATCTTATTCCTATGTGTTTTGTCCTCGAATGAAAGGCTGGATTCCTTGCAATGTGTAAGGCACTTTGACTATCACAAGTACACAACAATTTGTTGTTGCTTGTGACCAAGTTCCCCCATTATTCTTTTAATCCGGATAGCTTCTTTACATGCTTGGGTGACAGCCATGTATTCAGCTTCCGTAGTAGACAGAGCTACCACATCTTGTAACTTGGATAACCAACTTACTGCCCCTCCATTGATGGTAAACACATAACCAGGTAGTAGACTTCCTTTTATCCAGATCACCTGCAAAATCCGAATCTACATAGCCTCGACAATTGCTTCGATCCTCCATAACATAATGCAACATTTGAGGTTCCTTTTATATACATAAGGACCCTCTTCACATTTTGCCAATGTTCTCCACTGGGATTCCCCATGAATCTACTAACCACTCCCACTGCTTGTGCAATGTCCGGTCTTGTACAAATCATGGCATACATAAGACTTCCCACTGCTGATGCATACGGTACTCGAGACATTTCGATCCTCTCCGCTTCACTGCTAGGACTCATACTTGAGGATAACTTACAGTTGACAGGAAGTGGGGTAGAAATTGGCTTGCAATCTTGCATGTTGAAGCGCCGCAAGATCTTAAGTAAATAATTCTTTTGAGAAAGCCAAATCTTCCTATCTTTTCTGTCTCGGTGAATTTGCATCCCTAAAATCTTGTTTGCTGGTCCCAAGTCCTTCATATCAAACTCCCTAGCCAATTGTGCCTTCAATTCTTGGATTCGAGCTTTGTTAGGGCCTACCACCAACATGTCATCCACATACAACAACAATATGATGAAATCATTTTCTTCAAACCTATTGTGGTAAGTACAATGGTCCGAACTTAGTCTGTAGTATCCGAGGCTAATAATGAAGGAATCAAATCTCTTATACCAACACCTTGGCGCCTGCTTTAGACCGTATAGAGATTTGTTCAACCTGCAAACCAAGTTTTCTTGCTCTTTGAAGCCTTCTGGTTGGAGCATATATATTTCCTCTTCAAGTTCTCCATGAAGAAAAGCAGTTTTTACATCCAATTGTTCAAGATGTAAATCAAATGCAACACACATCGCCAGGACAATTCGATTGTTGTCAATCTAACAACCGGTGAGAATATCTCGTTGAAATCAATGCCTTCTTTCCGAGCATATCCTTTTACCACCAGTCTAGCACGATATCTTTCTACTTGATCATTGACATCTCTCTTGATCTTATAGACCCATTTGCAACCAATGGCTCTGCGACCTTTTGGAAGTTCCACAAGATGCCATGTCTTGTTTTTATGAAGAGCTTCAATTTCTTCTTCCATAGCAGCCATCCATAGAGGAGCTTCTGAACCACTCACGGCCTCTTGAAAAGTTGAAGGTTCTCCTTCTTCACTTAGGAGACAATACGCATCATGACTTGCCATCACATATTGTGAATGCCAAGATGGTCCGACTCTTTCTCTTGTTGATCGTCTGAGTTCTCCTTCTTCCACCTCATTTGGCTCATGTTCTTCATGCTCCTCCTCCGACTCGGATGAATGTTCCGAAGTCTTCTTCTCTATCTCGTACTATAGTCTTGTCCTTTTCCGAGCTGTCATTTATCTCGCTTGCTTTGTAGTTCATTTTCTCGCAAAGACGACATCTCTGCTAACAATAACTTTGTGGGCAGTGGGATCCCACAAGCGATACCCCTTCACATTGTCAGCATATCCCAAGAAGATGCATTTCCTGGATTTTGGATCCAACTTCGTCCTTTCTTGGGTGTTGTACATCACGTACGCGGGACAACCGAACACATGTAAGGAAGAATAATCGGTTGATTTTCCACTCCACATTTCCATAGGAGTTTTCAACCCAATTGTCGTTGATGGAGACCGATTTATCAAGTAACGAGCGGTATTCACGGCTTCGCGCCGTAAAGACTTTGTTATGCCTGCAGCTTGCAACATAGCTCTGGTTCTCTCTAGAAGAGTTCTATTCATCCGCTCTGCTACACCATTCTGCTGAGGCGTGTGTGGAACAGAAAATTGTCTCACAATTCCTTCTTGCTTGCAGAATGCTAGAAAATCTCCATCTACATATTCTCCTCCATTGTCTGTCCTCAAACACTTGATTTTCCTTCCGGTCTCAAGTTCTACTTGTGCTTTGAAGTCTTTGAACCGCGCAAATACTTCGGACTTCTTCTTGATAGGGTATACCCATAATCTCTTCGAGTAGTCATCGATGAACGACACAAAATATTTTGCTCCTCCGAGAGATAATTCAGGTGATTCCCGGACATCAGAATGGATCAAGTCCAAAGTTTGCTTACTCCTTGTGGTGGTTCTTGCAAACTTCAACCCGTGTTGTTTGCTTGTCACACAATGCTCACAGAAGGGTAAATCGACCTTCTTGAGCCCGGGTATGAGATCACGTTCCGCAAGAATCTGCAGACCTCGCTCGACATATGTCCAAGTCTACGGTGCCACGTTATCGCCGCTTCTTCTTGGCTTGTCGACGCAGTTGTTGCATGATTTTCTTGCAAGGTGTCTCCCATAAGCACATACAAGTTTGCCATGATTTTCTCTCGCTTTCATGACAACTATGTTTCCCCTCACTACCTTTAAGATTCCTCCTTCAACATGGATCTTGCAGCTGAGGTCATCCAATAGCCCTATAGACAATATATTTTTCTTCAAGTCCTTCACATGTCGTACTTCTTGGATTGTGCGAATAGTACCGTCATACATTTTTAATTTGACAGTACCAACTCCAAGCAATCTCCAATGCATGGTCATTTCCCATGAACACGGATCCACCCGAGATAGGCTTGTAGGTTTGAAACCAATCTCGGTGTGGGGTCATATGCCAAGTTGCACCTCGAATCCATTATCCACTTGTCATGAAATTCGTTTCCGCCATTAGAGCTGATTGTCGCTTCGCTTACCAAAATTACTCCTTCCTCTCGAAGTACTCGCAATGCAACCTTGTGAGGTTGATTCTTCATTCTTCCTCTTCCAACACTCTTTCTTCGTGTGCCCTTTCTTGCCACGAGTAGTAGCATTTAAATTTGAAAGTCTTCTTGTTTCGAGAGCTAGATCTGCCATGATCTTGACTCCCACTTGAGCCACGTTCCGCTGATCTTCCTCTCATCATCGTCAAAACTTCGCTTGTTTAGAACTTTCTACCTTATTCATTCGCCTGGATTCTTCTTCTAGAATAGCTCAGCAACATCGTCAAAGTGTAGTTGTCCTTCAATATTATTATTTATAATGTTGATGATGAGTTGATCATACGAGTCCGGCAAGCTCTGAAGTAAGAGCTCCGCACGCTCATTCTCAACTATGTTGAAATTTGCTGCTCGCTAATTGGGCAAACAAGGTGTTCGGTTGGTTGATGTGGTCCGTCACCGATGTGGACTCACTCATCCGAAGAGTATAGAGTTTCCTCTTCAGGAATATCCTTGTGTGAAGTGACTTCACCTCATATAATTTAATGAGGGCATCCCAAATCTCCTTTGCAGAATCTTTCTCCGCAACACCTGGATAGAACCGAGTCCGCCATTGCCAAGTGTAAATTTGCAATAGCGTTGCCGTCAATTTTCTTCCAATCTTTATCCGTCATTTCTGCAGGTTTTCCCTCAATTGCTTCTGCGCAATTGTCCTTTCTCAAGATTGCCTTCATCTTCAATTTCCACAACGAGAAATTGTTCCAGTTGAACTTCTCTATCTCGTACTTTGCTCGCCATGGTTGTATACGGACTTATGCAACTATCACTTATAAATAGTATTGTCTACCGAACAATAGTAGTAAACCGTGAACCAAGTACACCAAGTAGGTTCCAGGAAAGAGAGGTGGGTCACTAATGGACACGCTTAAGTACCAAGTCTTTCCTAGCATGAACTTTCCTCAATAGTACTTTCACACTACCACACCTTTTCCAAGTAACAACTCCTTCTCGATGTGGAAGATCAGATTAAACTGCAACCACGAAGCATACTCGAATTTTACCAACACTATTCTAGTGACACGCAACGGAACTCGAACGCAGCTCTGATACCACTGTTAGGATCAGAGTACCAGCATAAATACACACAACTAAAATAGAGACGAGAAAAATAACCCTGACAATAGGCAAAAATGAAAATTTTATAATGACCACTCTTTCCTTTTACAATTAGAAATTACCAATACTAAGAAAGTAAAAGAGAAAGAAGGAGAAATATTTGGGATGTATGAAATAAGAGGGGAGGGGCTCCTTTTATAGGAAGGAGGAGAGCCCCCAATTGAAGTTCCCACGGATGTGGGACTTCTTTCTTCACACCAAGTACACCTTTCACGTGGTGTCTACTACAAAGTGCCAAAACAGTTTAACAAATTTCTATTAAAATTTAAACTGGACGTGAACATTTTGGAATTTTATGTGTATGTGGAAGTTGGAGGCACCCATCAAATAAAATTGAAGGATCTTGATGAAATTTTCTACAAATTTTAACCAAATGTCGATTTCAAAAGAGGCTCAATTGACATTATCATGTGCCTCATCACATCAATTTGAATAAATCAATAACATGGGGGACTCTTTTTCTCTGGGATGAACAATATCATGGTCCCAATGACAATGGGCTTAAAGCTATAAGTTAAATACGTTGTTTTATATTACCATGTGAAAGATACCATTTTTTATTATTTTTATTAATGATTATATTTTATTGAAAGTTTTTATAATATTTAATACATTTTTTTAAATAGATACCAAAATAAATTTAGAGTATCGATCTCTGAGATAATTATTCTTCAATTTCCCTTTTATTTTCTTTTAATTCAAGTGAATTACTTAATCAAAGTTAGATTAGAAAAACAAAAATTAAAATAAGAAGTAATTCTACTAGAATTATTCAATGAGTAAATTAATATTCTTTTTTCCATTTAGTTATATATTTTTAATTATGATTCAAATTTGAACCAAGACTTTAATTCTATTAACATCAGGGAGGGATATATTGGTTAAATAGATAGATTTTGTTTATTTATTTATTTATATAAAAATCCAAATATTATATATATATATATATATATATATATATAAAGAGATTCATTAATTACTTCAAGAATAAAAGTTAGATGTTTATTATTTGTTCTCCTTATTATTGTTTTTTAAAATTTAATGAATTAAAATGATAATTTATCTTAATTATTAAATTATAAAAAATGAGAGATCTTAAAATATGGTATTCAGTTTCTTTGAAATATCAATCTTAGTTCTTACATATGTTTTAGAGGAATTGAGTTTTATTCCTCACTCACTAATAACCAAAAACACATATTTTTAAGTAAACGTGATAATTAAAAGAATATTAAGCTTTCAATAAGAATAAAAGTAACATGTGAGAATATTTTTAAGGAAAAAAAATATATCATCTTAAAAAGGTTAATTAGGTGCCAAAATGGTGAAAATGTAGATAAAGGAGATGAAACAAGTAGTATATGAAAGTGTAGAAAATTCCAATCTAGAGTTTCTAATTAATTGGTTTGTTAGGCAGGTATGATGTTATCATCCTTGTTATTATGTGAAGATTAGATTAGTACCATTACATGCCTTTTCTCTTCTAAATCCATCTATTAAATAACCAACTTTGCATATATCCCTATGTTTGAGTCTCATCTTTATTCATGTTTTTATTTTCTTTTATCGTTTTAATAAAGTTTTCAATGCAAACTTATAAAAAAAATAAAAATAAGACGAAAAAAAAATCCTAAACTAAAATTATCTTATAAAAAATTATACCAATCATATTACGTGTTTTTATTCTTAATATATATATATTTTGGTGTTAAGATTAATTTTCTGTCCTGCTTTTTCATAAATTGAAAAGATTTAAATTTTCTTTTCTTTATATATAACTTATTTTCGACTCAATTTTTTTTAAATAGTAAAATGTTATAGTATCATTTTTTTAATTAAATAAAATATTATTTGTTTTTTTGAAATGAAAGTATTCCAATTTCACATTCATAATAATAATATTGTTAATAATAATAATAATATTTATTTTAGAATTATCAAAGTTTTATTTTCAAGGTAAATTAAAAAAGAAGATGTATTTAAATTATTTATGGTCTTGACTTTTAATGTAAGACTCGTAAACATATTAAAATATAAGTTGAAAATTAAGAGGTATGGATAAAATAACTATTTTATTATTGATATAAAAATATTACTCTTTTATCTAAAAATTGACTTGAATCATGAGAATATTTTTTTAGATAAATCTCTTTTCTTGCAATAAAAAATTAGTATTCAACATTCTTGAACTGAAGAAGTTGAAACTTGGAACATAATCGATCAATCTCATCCAATTATGTGAACTTCCATCAATGTGGTAAAAACATTGATTTTAAATAATTTTATAAGATATTTTTTAACATTGATTTTGAATAATTTTATAAGATATTTTAAATAAAAATTATTTGAGAAAAATATTATTAATTTTTGTTGTCGCTAGTACACATAATTCATTAGGTATAGGTGATAGACTAAGATTTAAAAATAAAATAAGTGAAAGATATAAACAATTTGTTTAAATAATGTGGAAAGGAACACATTGGAGCAAAGGGGGAAGGGGTGGCAGTGGCAACCTGGCGTTTTAGCTGCTTTGTGTGACCATTACGTCATCTTATACGTGCCATGCAGCAAATTCCAACTTCTCTTTACCTTTTGTAGTTAAATGTTTAATTAAGGATATGATTATCAAAATATTTTCATACGTGTCATTAATTTAATAACTTTTATACTATCAATTAATTATTTTCTATATAAAAATAAGTGTGGTTATAATTTTTTTATTATTGAAGCACATTCATCTATAAAGTACTAAAATATGACGTCACAAGAATCATTTAAATTATTTTAATAAAATACAAGATATTTAAAGTAAGTAAATTGAATCAACGATAATGAGAATGTTCCAAGTAAAACTACTTAGGGCTCGGACACGTGGCTAATTGTGGTGAGTATACTTGCGAAAACAAGTTAGGAGGTGCTCAGCGACACATCACCTTAATTCTACAGTGGACAAGTGTCCAATGACTTCAATTTTATATATTTTTATAAAAAACAAGTAATATATTTCGTTCAACACTAACTAATAATTTTAATGATTAAAATGATCGTGGTGACTTCTTCTAGGCACGATAGCTCATAATTTGAATTTTAATTAATATTCAATGCCAGCTTAGTTTTTATTGTTTTTATAATTTTAGTTTATTTCTCGTACCTTAATCAAGTAAACTTATTCGATAGCATAATGCCACGTAAGTTTGAACCGTGTATCATGTTTGTATAATGTGATTTAAGATTAATTATATCAAGTATTTTGATTAGGTCTGTATCATGGTCAAATGATTAATTAACATAAACGGGAATAATGATTGTGATATCGTTTATCATATGAAAACCGTATATAATAATAAAAATACGTATCTCTTACTTTGAATTACCATCACTTAAGTATATGATGTTTTAATTTCGTTAAATTTAAGGTCAATACTCAATATATATCAAGATTTTAATCATTTAAGCGCGTCACCAAGATTATTATATTAATCTAATTTTCTAACCACAGCTTTCTTGCATTCTTAGCCACTAATTACAAATCTCAACAGCGATTGCTAACCTCGTGTTTAGATTATGCCATTTTTTTATTCTCATTTTGTATTCTGTAATTTCTTCTCGTCCTCTACTTTCACCATGACAGGAAAAGAACATTAAATAATATTCCAATGATTTAGGTTGGGATAGGATCAAATTTAATGTGCATTTTCTTTATCATATTGTATCTATTAAAATATATTTAATATTTATATACCATATCTAATTATAAATATTTAGATTAACATTTATTATTTTTATGATAATGTCTTATATATAAAAAATAACATTAACTTTTAGCTAGTTCAGAAATATTGTTCTATAAGACTATACTATAATTTGATGCACATGATGGTAATAAAAAATGGATTCAGTGGATTGATGTTTGGTCCAATAAAAATGTTTCTTCTGTCTCTGGCAACTGGATTTTCTCTGCTGTAGGATATATTGATAAAGGGAATTGTGGTAACAACAATCAACAAGTGGAGGCGTCATTGTTTTTGGAAACGCAAAGTTTCTTTGAAAATATTGTTTTTTATGGAGCTTGCTTCTTCACAAGTTATCGGATAAGAGCATGTTTTGATAAACTCTCTTACAAGATTTTAAGAATAGAAATGTAATTAAATATAAATTAAAATATGTAATTTTTGAAAAATGAGATGAATTATATTAATTATAGATTCTATAAATTAATTAACTCGTTATCTACAACATGGCTCTATTCTTAGAGGAAAAAAATTTGGAGCTTGTCACATTATTTGGCTTTTGGTAACTTGATATATTTGGTTGATGCGCAACAAAGATTTATTTAAAGAGAGTGTCACACATAAGATTTTATCAGAGTGAGGTCGTAGTCATGGCTATACCAAGTAATCTTTTATATTGTATTTGTGCATGATTGTGTATCACTCTATGTTCTACTCATCTTAACATATTTTCATAAAATATTTTTTAAGAAATAAAATCACATCTTAGAGTATGAAATTATTAAATAAATAAATAAACAAAATATAAACCCTAAATTTTAGATATACATCAAACTCCTTTCAATTCAGCGACTCAAATCTGCCTAAATAAATATGTTCGCGTCCCTAACTTCGAGAGTGCATATTTTAAAACAGAAACACTCTAATACTCATTGATATATAGTATGAATTTTTATGTATTTTTTTAATTAAAAGCCTTATAGATTTTAATAAACAAATAAAATCGTTTTTTTTCTCCCACAGAATGCAAGAACAAGAGAGTCAAATATACAAATTAATTAGTCAAAGGTATTTTTTTTCTTTTAAAAGTGGACATGGAAACATTTGTTTTTCAAAAACAACAGATAGTTTTAAACTTACGAAGCATTGTAATAGCACAAGTGGATGAATTCAACCGCTAAAAACGTTGCGTGACGTAAAAAACCTAAAATGCTGTGTGTTTTCTTGTGGTAATGCTTGTTTGCAGCATTTTTTTGTTGCATGCTGCTTCGTTCGTATATACATGTATACAAAATTATTGAACCCATTGGCTTCGTATAATGTGTATGGTAAAGACAGAGGAGCAATTCGTCGGTGCCTAATAACCTATCTATATACGCCACTGCATACGCATGTGACTCTGTTTCCTCTCAAAAACTCACTCTCGAATCACTTCCTCGACCACAATATTTTGAATCGTGAACACTCAATGTTTAAATGAACAATAATTGGTTTTGCTGGGTCTTTCTGGGATGAATCAATTGATTTGTCATCTTCCCTCTTAATGATATAAAATATCGTGAAAATTGTAACACGTAATAATTGAATACGAATGCTGGACAACAAGGTGCCCATGGTTAGGAGCATTGTTTGTGGTTCATGTACGTGGTTTTCTCAAAGATATCATAACCTAATTAATTAAACTGTGTTGTCGTGTTTACAAGTGCTGAATCTTTTTCCTTAACGCTACTTTTGCTTCCTTAATCATTTTTTTTGTTATTCTTTTCAAAGTTCACCAAACATAAAACCTTTTTTCTTTTTTCCTCTTTTAAGCTTATATGATCTACCTTTTTTTGTTTATTTTTTATGTATAAATGTGCCAGCAAATAATTAATATACAGAGGCTATATTTAGATCAATATTTGTGGTCTATTATAAGAATCAATCAAACACAACCATCATTGTAAGCATTAATATCTAAGGCTATATTACACACGCACACAAACATGATTTTGTAAACATTGTATCCTCTTAGGTTTTGAATCATATATTAAAGCCATCACATGAGGGGGACTTTGGTCCGACCTAAAAGGTTATAGTTTAAATCAGTTAATACAATAGTGTATGCATGAAGTTGGGAGGACCGTTTTCTGCAGAGTCGCACTCAGAAGTAATACATGTAGGTAATCATCCATGCAGAAAGCATGAAAAGCTAGCTAAATATTACATCAACCCTTTAAAGCCACCATTGGAAGCTATGAATTTTCTCTGGACTTGCTTTTCCACTATGTTACGACTTTTTACCTTCATTTCCCACCTACGTATAGTACTTTTTATGTAATAAAAATAACTACGAATTAATTAGGGTAGAGGGACGTATCGCACATGCATCTTTAACTCAATTGTTCATGGTGTATAAATGCCTTAATAATTTGAGTGGCCCTAACTATTTATTATACAGCTAGCACAAGCAACTTGAACCTACAATGATTCAGGGATTCTCTCCTATCTTACCACAACAAAAATTGGTTATATAAATAAGAAACAAATGTAGTATGAAAGTTATTACTCCACCTTTTTTTTTTTTAAATTCTAGGTTCAGTACTACGTTCTGCCCTTTCTTTCACGGGCTTAAACTAGCTAAATGCCATTGAAATCACTTGAATAATATCTAATATGTTATTTGGCATAAGATTTTCCAACTTTGACCACCGATCGGTTCAAATATTAATCAACTACCTAGGTGTTATTATGTTGTTACGTTTCTTTCAATAGAATCATTTTGGTTATAAGAAAATTAGCTAGTGGTTAATTTTTAATTAGTCACATATATGATGAAATTATAGAACATGATATCAGTAGTATAATATGTGAAAACATTACAATTATAGAATAGTTGATAATGAATGCATATGAGATTTAACCTTCTGTTTCTAGTGAAAATTTGATTGATTTCGATTTATCGGGAGTTAAGTTCTAATCAAATCTCAACCATGTAGATTCTTTTTACTTAGGCTAGCAAGCAGTTTTCAATCGAAATGTGTATAAGAATCGAGAATCCTAAAATCTTGAAAAGATGCAAACCACATGACCTAGAGTGCAGATCGATGATCGAAAGTACTATTTTTTGGTATTTTTTATTAAGAAACGCGAAGTAAAGAAAGCAATAAAAGCATCGAATCGAAAGCAGAATATTAAATTGCAGAGAAATGTAGAATGTGGAAACCTTAAATTTGCATTAAATGTAAATAGCAAGAAATCGAAATTGCATAAATGTAAACGCAGAATCTCAACTTTCATAAAAATAAATGACAAGGAATTGAAAATGCAGAAACTTAAAGTTGCTAAATGTAAACTTGCATCAAAGTAAATTGCATGAACATAAATTACCAGGGAAAGTAAAGAAAGCGATACAGACAATCAATGAAAATGGAAACCCAGACCGCCAGAAACTTCATGATTCGTCGTTCTCCGGTAGACTTTTTCACTTATGTTTCTATTGTCTCTGCCAATTTCCTCTCTTTTTTAAGTCTTCGCTCTATTTATAGAGCATCCTTCAAGTAACCTCTCTAGGAGTGGTTAACAAAATTGTCACCACGATCCTACGTGCACGTCCCTTAGTCTTATGGTTTAAAAACTGTATTCCACGTTCTCACGCATAAGAGAACTGCCCTCTTGATCTTCGATCTTAGCCACGGTTTAGAAACCGTTTCCCACGTTCCATGTGTGTGTTAACCGTTCCCTCGATCTCGATTTTAGACATCGAGTGTTTTGAATTGCTTTTGATTTCATTTAATTCTTAACTTTGCACTATTCTAATTTCTCGATTCTTTTCAGCAATGGACATCGAAATTTGTTTCTTCGATTCTCGATTTTTATTTTCGATGTGTTTTTACCTTTGTGGTCACCAAGTGTCTTTTACCAGTCTTATCAATTTTTTAACCAACTATATGATTTTCAATTTTCTCTCTTTGGTTCTTTCGATCCTGGTATCGATTTTTCTTTTACTAACACCTTCATATCTATAAACACTATCGAAATTTTGTTTCTGTTTGTGATTTTCTACTCATCTTTAGATATTGTGTTTTAAATTAGTTTAATGTGTGGAAATTTTGTTCCATCATCTTTACGTTAATGAAACTAGAAGTAGATAACAACAATGTATTTTTTATATCAAAATGCAATACTATAAAATATGTTTTTCACGTTGTCATTTAGCGTTAGTTAAAACTGAGGTGACATTGAATACAATTTCAACGTCGGTTCCAGATGAATCGACGTTAAAAGTTTTTTAATTGACACATTCCACATTGGTTGAAACCGACGTGGAAAGAGTTTTTATTTTATCCAAAAATTCACTTAAGTTAAAGAATTGTCACTAGCATGATTTGAACTCAGTATTTTAGAGTTGAAAACTGATACTCCAACTATTAAACTACTATAATTTATATGTTGGATGTGAGAGCGCATTCGAGGGTGAAAATGAGATTGACTCTCGCTTGAGTGAAAATACGTTAAAGCTCATGAAAATTCACTCGCTCAAGCCTCGTTTGAGCGAAAATTGGTATTTTTCACTTGAACGAATGACACATTTCCCAAAATTATTTTATATCATTATATAAATAAATTATAAATATTATATTTTGTCATTAAATTACAAATTTATATAAAGAGACCCGCTCACAAATTTGGCATCAAATTTTGAAAATCCACTCAACACACTTTCACCTTCGAGCATACCCTCACATCCAACATATAAATATATAACTATATAAATATATCAAATTATATAAATATATTTGTATTTATATATTTACACGGATATATATTTATTTATATATAAATATAATTTATTTGTAAGTTATTATGAGAAAATTTTAGTAGTTTAGTGGTTGGAGTATCGACCTCCAATTCTAAAGTTAAACTTCTAAACAATATAATAAATAATAAAAATATGGGTTTAATATTTGTAGTAGTGATGCTACTTCTAACAAATTTTTCATATTAATCAATGTTTCAATCCCCATAGCTTGTTGTATTTATATTTTGACAGAAGTAGGGAGGAAACCCGGACTTCACAACAATAAGGAAACATAACGTGTCCAAGAGAAAGTTCATTCAAAGAAAATTCTTAAGCAAATTTTAATGTATTATATAACTAATATCACTGAGATCCTAATATATCATAGGGTAAAACCACCAAAACTTTATTAACATAATAAAAAAAAACGCATTGTATAACTAAACTATTATAACACATAAATTCACAAAACTATATCCACTATCGGTCAGTTCCATTAATGCAAAAGACAAGTTATGCACATAAAAGAATGATAATTTATATAATGCACGGAATAATAATACTACATATATACTATTATAATAAGATAATAAAAATTTCAAAGATTATTTTCAAATAATTAAATTTTAATTGAAGTGGGATAAAACTAAAAAAATTGGTTGGATTTTTTTCAAACCGATTTTGATAAAAAAAAATTAAGATCAAATTTTTTAACATAATTTTTAATAAAAGATATAATATATTTTAATTTTTTTATCTCATATTAATTATATCAATTTTTAATAATTATTATTTTATTATATTTTTTATTTTATTTTAATAATTATTATTTTTCACTCTCTAATATATTTTATATTTATAATTTCTATTGTAATTTACGATAATCATAATAATACTATTTATTTTTTATATAAAAAAATATTATTATTAATAAAATAATTATATATTTATTATATTATAAAAAAATTATTTTATTAAATTTGGTGAATCAGTTACATTTTTAAACCTGATCTATGTTTTCACAAATATAGTTTTAAAAATATTGATAATAATTATAAATTTAATTTTTCAAATAAAGATAAAAGTATATTTTAATTATTAATTAATGTTGATGGATGATTATTAATTTCAATAACATATATTAAAAAGAATTTTAATAATAGGCAAACATATTGAATATAATCATTATATAAGTGCATGCATGGTCGAATGATTGAGTAGAAATTTCTTTATGTAACATGCATGACAATGTTTATCATGATTCGTGCTTTACATTACCTATTGTCATTCAATAAACTACAAATTAACAACATTTTAAAAACTGTTATAAAAACAATTATGATCTACCAACTGAAATATATGTGATTAGAAGACAAAAAGGTTCAAACGTTAACCATGATCTACGTAGAGGATGCATTCTTTCATGTAAAAAATTATTAAATATTTCAGTCCTAAAGTTTACCCCTTTACATACATAGTTGTTTTTCACTATCATAGTCTTCGACTAGTCCAATCGAATAGACACAGAACAATGACAATCGTGACAAAATATTATATATATATATATATATATAGGGTTTAATTGGGACAAAAAGAAACAGTCTAAAGAACTCTAACAAAAAAACAAAGAAAAGAGAACAACTAATTTAAAAAAAAAAAAAAAAAAACTAAAGGTGGTGTCATAATTAAGAGAAGTGGCAGACCCTAACAGTAGAAAAAAGGGTTGAAGAGGGACCATCAGGCATAGTTCTCAACGCATCATCAGGGATAACTTTTAATATACAAAATAATATTGTCACATTTAAAAATCATGTTTTGTATATTTTCAGGAATATCGAAAATATATTTTATATGTTCAAGATATACTCAAGAAAAAAGAGGCATATTTGTGTAAAAATTCCTCTTAAGAAAAATATGTCATCGAACACGAGTCTAATTTATCTTGGAGAGTTTCATAGATATAGAACATTTCTTCTCAACTTCTTTTTTGTATATTTATCATGCATTAAGCATGAAAAATACTTTACTCACTAAAAACCTCTTAAATATATACTAAAAAAACAAGAATAAAAATAAAATAAAATGGATGCATGGGGTGACATGAATATGCAGTTGGGGTGAAGGATGAGGAAAAGCTAGACAAGGTAGCAGACAAAATGAGAGTGAATTAGCAGAAACGCCACAGGTTGTATGATGCTATCCAAAACACGACCTAATTGTCTCCACGTCTCCAACACAACAGTGATTCGCAGAGTGAAAGAGAGCAACAAAAACCTAACTCTTTAACCACGTTCATCTTATTGTCTCACGCAATCAGAAAAACCTAGCTGGATTCAATTGAAACTCAACAAAATCTCTTCATCAAGATAATATCCACATGCATTTAACGTACGTAAGCATTAATGTAATAATTCTATGAATAATGAATAGTTGTTCATGGAACTTTGTCAAATTAATTCTCCTGGATACTACAGCAAACAATAGCTGTTCATTGACGAACTCGAACATTATTAATTTTTCTAATTTTATATATTAAGTTTGAAGGAAAATGCTTGATAGTAGGAGACAAGGTTAGGCCAAATCTGTTACACCATTATCTCACCAATGATTTATTTCCAAATGCTTTTTATTTTTTATTGATTCGCTGCAAATTCTTTTGAATTATTTAGCAACACTTCAAATTAAATCATTTTTATTAGGGGTGCCTGATGCTGCTTGACATCATTTAAAATCTCATTGTTAGGCATATTTAATGAATAAAAAAAATCGGTTCGGACTTTAAAAATAAATCTATTTATAAGAATCATAGGCAAATAACTCAAATCAATCATATTGGAATTTGTGAATGACGTAACTTCAAAATAATTTAAAATGGAATTATATTTTAAATAATTCCATTTTGTTTCCAACGAAGAGTTATAATACGTTTGCTCGTATTTTTTTATTAAAATAATACACACAACAAGAAATAATGAAACTCAACAACCGGGTGATCACATACCAAGATTTTAAAAAACATTTTATTATTCAAATGTTTTTTCAACAAATAAAAATTTTCTAGTCTAGCTTTTTTTTAAGCAAACATTCTATTTTTAGCTTACTTGATCGAAAAAAATTAATATTTAATGTTTTTGTTTTCTTATTATTTAAAAAAAAATTAGGATTCATAAATTTACAAATTAATTGAAATTATTGGATCTATTGATAGGTCATCTAATTTAAAGTATAACATTAGGTGCTAAAATTTCCTTTTTCTTTATAGGCATTGGTTGCCTATAATAAGAATCATCCTTACACCAATATTTCAATGAACACTGATTGCATAACCATCAATTGCTTAACCTTTTAATCATATGTTCATATTCATTTTCATTTTGAAAAGATAAAAACTTTAATCTGTATCTTTTTTTTTCATTTTATTATTAACTGTATAGGGAATTTTGTTGGCAATAAATTTTTTTAGGTGCTTAATTGAAAAATGAGATCACTTAAGCTGGGAAAAATAAAAAAAAGTTAATGTATATAATAAGTAAATCCCATTGAGAAGTCAAATGAGAAACACTAAGCTAAAGATGGTTAAAAAAAGTGCTAATAAACTAATTTGTTTCATACAGGAGAAAAAATTGATATAATTTTATGAAATTATTATAATAAATATGCAGATGTGGTTTGGAGAAGAAAGATGAGAACAGAAGAATGACTGGGCATATGTTGGGCGGCGTGAGTCGGTCCCAATCTCATAATCCCGCAAATCTGGAAAGAAGCGATTGCAGATCAGAGTGCCACTGCTTAACTCCACTGGATATGGTGGCTGTCACGTTTCCCTATTATATATATATATATATATATATATATATATATATATATTATATATATATATATATATATATATATATATATTTATTATTTAAAAATTATTAATATTTTTATTTAATACATTTTTTTCTTGAACCGAAAGGAATGAACAAAAGGATGCGAGATTAAAACGGTCATGTGTGATTTTAAGACGATTAATTTTTTTTTAAATAAATAAAAATTATTTAAAAAAACACTCCGACATTTAGGTGAGTTTTTAGATAAAAATAATGGCATATTTGAGAATAAAGGAAAAGATAAATATTTATTTTCTGAAAATATTTTAAGTAGGGTCAGAAAATAAAAGATACTTTATAAAATAATAATAAATAAAAGATAATTAATATGATAATGTATAATAATATGTATTCTTTATATAATTATATTAAATTTTTTGAAAATATAATTTATTTATTATAATAAAAATATATTTTTTATCGTAATAATATATATAATAATAATAAATTAAAAAAATAAAAGTTAGAGATCACAAGTCAATGAATTTTTTATTTAAATGGAATTTAAAATTTAAGGAGAAAAATATTTAAGCCTATAAAATAAAAGAAAAATTCATATTGTACAAAGCACACCTGACTCCTTTTCAACTTGTATAGTTTTGAAAAAATATATAGGATATTTACAATCATAAATATGAATGTCGATATATGAAAAAAAAGTTATTTGATTATTTGTACAAGTTTCGTTCTTTCTTTAAAAAAATCATATAACGTATTTTAATTTTAACTAAGAAATAAGATTCAATTTTAAGATTTATTTTACTTATTTTTCTTACTTTCATATAAACAAACCTTGATCCCTTTTTAACCCGTAATGCTTTGAAAAAATGTATAGGTTATTCATTCATAATAATATATAGGTTCTACAACCCTAATATAGAGTATATAAAGTATGAAGCCAAGGTATCAAATTTTGGGAGCTAAAACTTTGATTGATGTATAACTAAGATTCATTAAAATATTTTTTAATTATATGAAAAATTCATTTTTCATGATTGAGTATTATCAATTTTAGAATTCTCATCCATCTTATCCTTAAAATATGTTTCAGTTAGTAATTGATAGAGAATGATGTATATAAATCAACATTTGTCTCAACTTTTAAGTAATATAAGATTCATAATCATACAAGAACATAAGCTCCTCAGATAAGGACTAAGGAGTATAAATAAATTACAACTCTGCTCTTAAACCCACGATGAATGTCAATGTTTCATTTAATCAATGTTTCATCTAAGAATGAGTATCTCTCGACCTTATGTTTGCTATAATAATATCATTTGAAACAAAATCGTAATAGATGAAAGTTTCAAAACAGACAATACACTAGACATGAAAATTGATCCTAACGATGTTATCATAGTGGACATAACACCTGAAACACTATCGTTTCTAAATACAATAATAAGTATTATTATTATATTTTACTATAATCTTCATCAATTTTATAATAAGAATCGTATCTTGATTAATTATATTTTCTTTTACAAAACTTTTTATTAAATATATTTAAAAAATCAATGAAATTTAAATAAATTATATTAATTACAAAACTATATCTTTTAGGACAACAGTAACTTGAATAAATTTTTTTTTTCAAAAATTGTGTCGTGATAACAATGAAACCTCAAAAGTAAGTTATAGAAATGATACTCCTATGATTTCATATATAAAAAAGTATTATTTTTTATTTTCTCTTTCTCTTTTATACAAAGAGAGAAAGAGAATAAGAGGTTACGAAGCCTTTCAAAAAAATATTCTATATTATTGTAAATGTCAATGTATTTATTATAGATAGATTGAATAAATTACATTTAAAGTTAAATTTTATTATATTGGTGGGTTTTTTTTTTTTTTTAAGGAAATGGGAGAAATTAATGCAAGAAGAAGTCATAATAAAGTTACAAATCTTTCCATGCTAAGAAGAGTTTAAGCTAAATTAAAACTTTGTTGTGTTAACATTTATCTAAACAGTATTTTTAAGAGAAATTAACGCTAAATTAAAATTTTATTATATTAGTATTTGTCTGGAACCCTTCAATTCTAAAACTATTGTAAAATATTTTTGAGAAAAATTATTTCGAACGTGATAAAATCAATTATATAAAAAAATATCACAATATCTTTAATCCAAAATCCGTAAGAATTTTGTAAGATTTAAGGTGATGGATCAATCACTTATACATTATTTTTCATATTTATTACATGTGATATGTTAACTCACGTTTGAATTTGAATTCCTGACAACTTTTTAGTTATGCATGTAGCTAGATTCAGCCATAACACACTAAAAAAAATATTGAAAAGGTTTAATTTCCATTGTGCTCCAAAAACGCACGTAACCTAGTATTTCGCACATTAAAATGAATAACCCTCTACTTTGTCTGCTATGGAACAGAGTAATTGATTATTCTTTAGGTCATTTGTTAAAAAACAAATTTCTTGCTCTCTGTGGAATAACCAATTACGTCATCATGTAAGTAATCTAAAGGTAATTTATTACCTGATCTGTTACTTTGATATTATTATCAGATTACATATCAGAAATTTGGTTAAACTCTTACACCAAAAATATATCATATCAGTTTACTAGTTTATAATTTATCATCTTTAATTTGTACACATCGTTTTATGATCTAATGACTTCTCAGTTGCATCGTCAGGAACATAATCTGTTCAATGTATACTTTAGTTTGATATGATTTTCTGGTCAGTCTTTTATTCAATCTCATATGCGATCTTTTAGAAGATTGATGGTACAGGCAACAAGTGACAAAAAGAGTACACCAACTCCTGTTTTAAAATGGGACAGAGGATATGAGACAACATAATCCTGTTGATTGTGGTTAGTTTCTTCTGTTTTTTCCTTGTGTATTTTGTGGTGGTCAACCTCTCAAGCTACTATTCATAGACATTGAAAGGGTGGTAAAATGTATAGACCAGTTAGTAATATACACAGTCTGCATTTTCATTTTTAAAATCTTGAGTCATTCATTAATTTGGTGCTGACACTTGTTTTTACTTTTTATTATACCATTGTATTAGTATAATCTAACAAATATGTACCAAATACTTGATTTAGATGGTGATGTGTGTGTCACATTAATGCATAAGGGAAGTAGTACCTAGCTAGATTGCTATAAAGAACATAGACTCAGAAGAAGTTATGAATGTGACTATTTATAATTATTATAACTCTTACTAAAAAGAAGCATCATGAATGTAGCTTAGGGCATTCTAGTATCCATTAATTTGCACTAGGGAAGACTTCCTATTCCTAGATCAGCAGCAGAACAAAAGTCAAAATACCGAGTACTCTTATTGAGGAATATGAAGACAACAGAATATACTTGGAGCTTTCTGGCTACATATTCAGTAGCCTTTTGTTCCCTTCAAAATGGGTAACTCTTGCGAACAGACGAAAGAAACAAGTGCAGAATGATGCAACAGATAGCTGTGGTGCCTTGTCTGACACGTAGTCTAGGACAAATAATAGCTCGACATAGTGTTGAATTAGCGCAAAACATGATGTAAGTATTTTGGGAGATTATATGAACAAAGACATGCACTGTTCATTATGAATGAAAAGAGACACCAAAATGGTCACAAAACAAAAACCGAACATGAGTAAGACAGGGCTTAGACACACAAACATCCATCATGGCATTGAAGGAATGGAGTGGAAAAGAGGGATCCTTGGTCTGGTTTGCAAAGGAAGTAGGGGGAGAACGAGAACTAGTTTCATAAGAAAAATTAATAACTCTATGATTTTCTGGATTAAATAAACTCATCATCAAACTGCATTAGAATCTTCTACAGTATTACTCCTTCACAGGAAGATCTAAACCAGGTACTTTCGAAATTCACACACGTGTTATATATATATATATATATATGTGTGTGTGTGTGTGTGATAATGTTGGGAATTCATCTTTTTGATGTTAGAGGCCAAATGGGACGTGACCCTTTTCATAACTTATATATGTAGTGTAGGTATACTTTGTTTTCTCATTTTTTCAATAACTACTTTCTTTATATACAACCATTTTATTATTATATTATTATTAAAATAAATTGTAGAATGGGTTTTGATAAAGAAAGGATTGTCCATTTTTTTTTTCTTAATTTTCAAGAAGAGGAAGTTTATTAAGCTATTTTTCTTTCTTTTTCTGCCTAGCAGGCCTGATTTTTTCTGTTGTTTTTTTTTTGGTCCACAGTGCTTTCTGATTACAGTTCCATGATTGGCCCAATAGACATATTTCATTGTGTTTGGGCTCCTTCTTCGTCCACCCCCATAATCCATATAAAATGAACAAAATACTTTTTTTACTAATGTTTGTTTCTAACCCTTATGTACTCTTGGCTCTTTTACACCTTTATAACTCCTATATCTTCATTTTGCTGTCCTTCTTGCATTGAAGATCGTTTTCAGCCTATAAGATTATAAAGTATTAATGTTGTGTACCTATTATAAAATACTTGTCCAAATGTTTATGAAAATTTAACTAAAAATGTAAATAAGAATCCAAACTATTCAATCCATGTATTTTAAAACTTAAAGGTGTGTTTCAAAATAATTAATCCAAAATATATTTTCAGATCACCTAATCCAAAAATGCATGTTGAATTAGTTATTTTGAACTTCATTTCTAGAACACCCTATTCGGAAATGAACTTTAAAAATCTAAACATGTTTTGAACAATTTAAACGTGTATTCCAAAATATGTGTTTATAAAAAATCAAATTCGTACTCTTGTTAGGAACCCGCACTCTTCTAATGTTTGAAATACTCTAATAAAAAATGATAGAAGTTAAAGAGAGTTTAAGATTCTTACCTGTTTCTTGAAATAATGAATCTTTAATGATAACAATGAAAATACTTTAGGATTTAAAAAAATAGACAATTAGAGGGTTTAAAAACGAGAAATAAATATAAGAATAAAATGAAAATTTATTTTAATTATGAAGGTGTAAAAAGCATCTATCAAGGTGCACTAAAAAACAACCTTTAGTTTGGTTATGATATCCCCATTAGCATATGGATATGATTACGTTGTTGCGCCCCAAGTATAATTTAATGTCACATTGACCATTATAACTATGTATCTTGGATGTAATCGCAAGCCCAATATAGGGACTGGTTCCCCATATCAAAGTGAGGAAAAATAGATAAAATTTATGTGTAATATGATAAGTGGTTTGACATTATTCTCTGGATGGAATTGAATTTTTATTCAATTATTTGTACATTTGATGAAGGCAATAAGTCTAATTTGAAAAAAAGTAACATCACAAGAAAAGTAACAAAAATATTACTCTTTTATTTCCAATTTATACCATCCATGGTTACTGCAAAGCACAGATTAAACGAATCCATCCAGAACCAGAATTGAAATTGGTGCCCACATGGGTTTTGGTTAGGCTAAATTACACTTTCCATGGCATTTTAATTGGACAGAAACTTGGCTTCTGGAGATATGAGATGATGATTTGACAAGAAGACTGGCCGAATAAATAAGGCTAAATAGATTTTTTCACCATTTTTTTTTAATTTCATATGATTATTATTTTCAGTGTTAATTTAAATTTTTTATCAAAACAAGTTAACATTATCTTTTCTATAAATGATATTAAATATTTAATAAAATATAATTATATTTCTATATAATATCAACATGCTAACGTAATATTAATATATATCACATATCATTAATGACATATTAATTATGTTGACATCATTAATAAATATATGATTAGGTCCGTACTATATTGTACTTTTCATGGAGTAATTTAACAGAGTTGACGAAAAAAAAATTACATGCTTTAAAAAATAGTAAAATAAATCAATAATAAAAATAATAATATAACAAAATTGAGAAAAATAAAAAGATAAAAGAAACATTTAACGAATAAATAGAGTAATAGCAAACAATGTGATACTTTATCGTAATACTTATTTCTATTTATTTATACATCAATTTATCTTATCATACATTTTCCCGTCTTCTCTTCTTCATTTATTATTGTACAATTTTTTTGTCCAAAAAGATGATATAAATACAAATTTTCTTTTTTCAATCAGAAGCATATGTGCATGAAGGTACAAATTTCAGTAGGAGATTGAAAAAAAGGGGTCAATAGTTATCTCCAGACCACAGTAATGTTACTCTCGTTTATACATTACTTTGAGAGAGCTTTCTTTTGCTTACCTGCATGCTGGGTTTGGATTATATGACGCTTTCGTTTGGTAAATTAGTTACATTACTATCACCTCCAAAAACTCAGATAATTACCTAAACTTATACTCTATAAATAATAAGAAATAATAAACGTCATGTGTTCGTAAAAATATCTCCAGCTCCTCTTTTTTCTTTTACTCCCTCTTCCACAAATACATCATAAAGACTAAAGTAAGAAAAACGAAACATTTTTATAATTGTGGTTGTGTGATTAAATATATTTTTTTTGTACGATCAATGATTCTTTTGTAATAACGAATGTCGGGCTTTTAAAAGAACGTAGAAATAAGAGTAGCAAACACTAGAATACTAAAATAAAAGCCTAATCCAGAGAGAAAAGAAAAGACATTGAAGAAAATAATTACAGAGAATGAATAATGTCTCTCAAAAATAATATAGTTATTTGTAACTAACCTCAATAAGGGAAAACTACAGTTATTTAGTAGTTTATATTTTTTTATGCATGAATATACAAATTTACTACCACTTAAACTAATGGTAAGAGTGGTTTACCATAGATTATTTGTATCAACTAAAATTCTGATACTAAGTATATGAACCTAAGCTGAAATAAATTTCTTAACTTAGTCGCAACACTAATACTAATAATAATGAGGACATAAAATGAGACTCAGACTAGGAATTGAAAAAGAATTATATTATTACCTGCTCATTTTTAAATGATTGACTATTATCATGAATTTCATGGGGAACCTTAACTGCGATCTAGCAGTCATAAGGGACCCGCATCAGTGAAAAAATTGAAGGTAAAATATTGAGTAACTACAATGAATATTATTGACCTTCGTCTGGAAGATGATCAGAAGAAATTTGACCAAAAATGTCAGGACATGAGTTCCAATTTCCATGTTTTCGGGCCTCCCAATACCCTCCTATGTAGCGGTAGGTACCGCTGGCTTTATCCTTAGCAAACCACCGTGGTTCCCAACCGCTCTCTTGCATTTTCCGAGCCTGAATCCCATTCAAACCAAAACATCAAATAACAAACATGGCTAATGAAGTTGTGCTAGAAAATAAGGATATAGCATAAGGACTAGACTTCTCTAAAGTGCAAAGCTTTGTTAAAATTTTGGCAACTTTATAATTTCTTTTATACTTTTAGCATAACACAATCACAATTTCAACCGTCAAAGTTTCTTAATGATTGGTTATCAGTCTATTTTTCAAACTATCCTTCTCGCTTACTTTGGAAATTAAAATATATGACTGGAAATCTACTATATTTAATTTAGCAGTTTCCTCCCCACAGAGAAGAATTTTTTACCTTATCTAAAACATGTACCTAATAGACCTATTTGTACGAACTTTTTTATATATATATAAAAAAAAATAACAAATTTAGAAAAAATGTATTAGAAAATTTCTATAAGTCAACTTATACATAATTAATTTTAACTTTTGCAGAAATCAATTTCTTTTTTTTTTCATATTTTTCTCTCCTACCCTTATAAAAAAAGCTCATCCAAAGAGAGGCAAAGGAGCCAATCCTCCACTAACTTAGTGATCGTGATCATAAAAAATGTAGATTCTATAGCAAAAAAGAGGTCACACAGTAAGAAAAAGATCAATTGTTCCTCTTAAATCATATTTCCCCCACAAAGTCTTTGATAAGAATTAAAGATAAAATTCCTCCCTGCCCAATAAATAAAAAAATTTGTGGGCTTTCAACTGAAAGCAACCTACATACTAAATCATTCCATAAACAGAGCATCAGGATGCTGATATCCTTGAGCAAAATAGCACCTTTCTATTCCCGTTTTACAAAGTATTATCTAGCTGTAAATAAAAATTTTAAGTAAAAACGAGATAGGAGAAATCGAGAAAGTAGTAAAAATTAAAAACAGTTATCCAGTCAGGTAATAGGATATGCATCAAAGGAAATTTTCAGTTTAATTAATTATAAAATGTACACCAACATGGCTTGGCATGGAAGATTGACATGTAAAACTTGTCAAAACTGATACTTGAGCAGATAAGTGATCTCACATTCAGAGCAACTAAATGTTTCTATTAAAAAGGAAACTATTAGTGTTTTTTTATTTATGGGCAATAACTATCAGTGTAAGTATGATTCTTATCTTTCCACATGTAGTTGGCATTTGATCACCAATTAGATTTGAGGCATTCTAACAACATTTGAAATATTAAGGATATGTTTGGATGAACTTTTCCATAAGATTTCTAGGAGAAAAAAATTAGGAAGAAAAATTTATGTTTATAAGTTAAAAGATAACTTATGCATAAGCTAATTTAAAAAAGCTCTCGTATAGTTTTTCTAAATTTTTATTTTTAAACTTGTGCCTAAACTAATTTTGACTCATGAAGAAGTTCATTTCATTATTTTCTTCTCATTTATTTTGCTTAGAATCCTTATGAAGAAGCTCTTCCAAACATACTCTAAATAATCTATTCCCATCCTTAGGTAGCATTTGACTTGTTGACTAAACGACAGGAGATGAAATAGGACAGAAATTTGGTTCTAATTTCCTTGATTTCAACTTTATTAGTAGAACCAAGATGAATTATGAAATTATTTGAATAAACTTGTCCATAAGTACTTACAGAATATATATATATATATATATATATATATATATATATATATATATATATATATATATAATCTTATACGTAAGTTCAAAAATATAATTTTAAAGAAGTGTTTATAGAAAAATTGACTAAAAGAGATTCATGTTTTAATCTCACGTCAATTTTGTTCTAAAACAAAAAATATAACGGAACTCCATATCCTGTTGTTACCCATTCTGAAATATATTCATGTACACCTTCTGAAACCAACAAAGGAAACACCACAAAGAAGTAAAAATGAAATAATTACCTGACGTTGACGCTGTTCTAGTCGCAACTTTTCTGAATTTGCCATCTCATACTCGCCATTTTCCAAATGCCTTTGATCAGGTCTTAACCTTGAATCGGTAGGTGGCAGCTTATCCTATGTATGCACGAATAAAAGTGATAACAAATGAGAACAAGTACTCCACCAAATATACAAAATAATGATATGGATATATGTTGGTCCTTTAATGTAAAAAATTCAATTATCTTATACTTTATAGCTCTTCCATGCCATATAAATGATCACAACATTTACTTACTGATCGCAAGCACTAATAATGGGGGTAAAAAAGGTGGAAAATACAGACTATTTTTTCACAATAAAGAAAAGGAATAGGAAGATAAAGTGGCTATACAAGAGACAGTATCAGACAAAAAAGAGACCGTTAATCCAGGGGTAAGTTCATTTAATGTGATGGCAAACCGAGTGAAGTTATATCTAGTGGGGAACTTGGGAGGCTTGCTCCGCTTCCATATTAGATGGGCATCTGACATTGATTCGTAACCCTTTCCCTTCCCACTATAGTCTCCATTTATATAATACATGCTGTCATCCCATTTTCCAAGCAATGTAGACAATATTTTCCCATTCCTGTCCTGAACAATACCATGAACCTGAGAGAAGTTCACATGTCAACTACTATATTAAAACAAAGTTAATGTCAGTCATATAGCAAAGACAATCCTCCGTAAAGATAGGCTCCATTAACAGATATACAGCACCTGGTGAGGATTTCGATCAATTATAGACTGTTCCTTGAATTTCAGTTTACATGAGTAATCTTGATTTCCCTGTATCCGCATCGTACCATAATGATCACAATACAGCTTTCCCAATATGAGATTGTATATTGATGTTGTAACCTGAAAAAAATCCATATCAGTTTAGAACCAAATCTGGACACTGCATTTTCATTGTGGCCATTGAACATATGGTAGCGGAAGTAGTTAAAATATACCTTACTCCACTGGAATATTTCACCATCATCAAATTCCAAAGTCAAAATACCAACAGGATCAAGCTGAATTGACCGACCCCAAAATTTACTCTTTAAGTTGCTATCTCCCCAAAATTTCCAACCTGTACCCTCACAGTGACATGCAACTACCATTGGGTGATGACTGACCTGGGAGAGAGCGGAAATACAATAATTTCAAAATGGAAACAGATATATTATAAAAGGCATAGTCATATCCTTCGTTGAAATTCAAATTATATTGCCTTTCGTCAAGTTCTACAGAATTTAAGCACCCCATCACATCAATTTTCATCCATCAAACTAAGTGGAGTAGTTTTAAGATTATACTTGAGTTCTTCCTGCAAACTGTGTTTTGAACACTTTTTTCCTTTTCATCCAGAAGTTCTAAGGATTCTAAATAAGCATGATTAATTGAATACTGATGCGTAGGATTTAAACAAACAATAAATAACTGTTACATTTCACACACATACACCTTTTAATTCTCACAGGTATCCTTTTCAATGATAGATTTATATGTAAGTCTCTCCCTAAGTACTTGCTAACCTTTGCATAACCTCTCATTTTTGTACCAAAATGATGTGATGCTTTACTTTTTCGGTGCAGCATTACATGATACATACATACATTCATGACAAAATAATCAAGAAAAGGATCATCTTCTATTGGATAATATCAATGTCTAGGATTAGATTGAACCTTCTCCGAGAAAAATCGAAAGCCTTTATCCGGAAAGTCAGCCTCATATGTTTCCCCTAGTAAAGGGTTAAATGGCTTACAGATTCTTCCTTCAGTTGAAGCATAGGCAGATACAGCAAAAGCAGCAACATTGAGAATTCTCATGAGGGTATTGCCCTGCATAACATCGTCAATGAGTTAAATAGTATTGCACCGAGTAATACACATTGAAGAATTAATAGCAAAGTAAAAAACATGGCAACATGAACTGGGGTGCCATATTCAGACTTACCCTTCTTCCCCATTCATATGCTCGGTCTAGAAGATATGAGTACTCCATTTCTTCACAGCATTTTTGCAAAGAGGAGAGAGGCTCATTAAAATAAACAGGAAGGCAAACTTTTGTTAGATCCTTCCCAATATTATCCTTAATCATTGACCAAAGACTGACACCTTTCTCCTTTTCAACAGGATCAGGTAATTTCTTACGCCGCTTAACATAAGGATAGCTTGCTCCAACGGATCTAATCGAAGGGTCTACATCCTCCTCTGATTCAACAGCATAGAGTCCTTCATCATCTGAAGAGAAAGACGAGGCCCTAATATCAGATGCATTACTTTTAAAAGAATTGGACGATGACAGAAAATCCCGAGTGTCAAAAAAGGCAGTGTCTTCATCATCTGTTTCCTCCTCGGCTGCATCATTTCTCTCAATTTCATCCTCAGACTCACTTGCACTTGCTGCTGGATCAAAAAATTAAATAAAAAAGAAAATGGAAATAGTTCGTAAAATGTCAAGAGTATCAAAAGATAATAGCTGGCATTTAAGCATTTCTATTTTGAAGAAAATGTACAACCAAAAATCACACAACGAAAAGATCTTAACCATATGAATGGTCAACATTCAAGCACTTACCACTAGATTTCTCCTGCCTTAATCTAGAGGAAGCCTCTTGATCATTCAATTGTCTTTGGCTTTCGTCAACCACAGTGTTCTCCAGATCAACCTTTTCTGTCTACAATAATGAAGTACAAATAAAAGGTTTTTACTTCACAAGGAGAATAAAATGCTAACCTTAATCAATATGTCATAAATAAAAAAGGAAAGCAATTAAAACAAAAGATCAAACAAAAACCTCCACAAGGCAAAGAAAACAATTTTTGTTTAACCAAGGAGGAAGCCATTGAATATGGGTAATTCGATGGATGGGCTTAGTATTAAAGGTCACAACCTTACAAAGAAATATTGAAACAATTTCTGTTTCAAAGTTAACCAAGTTCACTGAACTCTCTCCTAATTAAAATAAAAACAGCAATTTGGAATAAAGATGGGTATCAGCAAAATCTCAGGAAGGCACATTTGTAAAATACTTTAATGCAGAAAACCTGGCGATCAATTAGTATTTGCCTTTCGAATTTTTATCTTGTACATTAAGGTGAAAAGGCTTATTTATTGGATAAATAAGAATATCAGAACAGTCAAAATTAGGTATAGCATTTTATGATTAGTCAATCTGCTGCACCTTTGCATGCATGGTTATTAATTGGTTGAAAACTTCTACAGCATGATAAATGAATAGAACCAGAAATATGTCTCGTTAGTGTCTCTTCTCAACCTATACAATATTTTTTTAAGAACATTCAGTTGTGCACGTATGTTATAAGTTCAATCGTCCAAGGATTAAATTCTAACAGAAATCTGCTCTACTAATACGATCAAAATTCATCACAAGTCAGAGAATAAAAGAGCCTCCAAACCCACTAACCATAACTTCTTTCCTTTTCTATTTAAGATTTATAACTTACAGACACTATCATACCAAACCCCTTCTTGAGGCATCTAACTAGTTAAAGAAAGACTCAATACGTGATATGGAAATTGTCCATCAAAAACCAATTCAACACGAAAGGGAAAAGAATTTCACAGAATATTATTAATTACAGCAGCACCTATGTCAAGTGAACTCAAGAACAAGCCATTGGACTTCGGTTGTAGATTAAGTACAACAGTAGAAGAAAAATGTATATGGGAAAACTTGAGATTACACATATGACATTTGACACCATATAATACACAGTGCTCTATTTTCTTTTAAATGAAAAGGAGAAGACATGGCCCCCTCCCTTCTTTGCCGCAAATCTTAAGAGTACTAAGAATGACCTGCTTTCTGTGCAGTAGTAGAAATCCACCAAGAATAGCCAGTTTGATTGGCATGAAGATTTCTACTTTTCATTAAATGTACCTCTAATTGCCGCAAAGTGTCGATTAGAACCACCTGCTTCTGTTTAAGCAGCAGAAGCTGGTTTTGCAGCACGGCATACTCATTTCTCATTATTTGTTCACTGTCCTTAATAGCTTCCTCGCTTACTCCTTCCTCCATAAGACGATGTCTCAGTTTCTCAGTCGAAACTGCCACATTGTCCACCGGTGCCATCAACTCGCTGTTGGATATCCGCGGAAACATATCTTTCACTGCCTGCAAGGCCTCCATCCACGCCACTCGATCCTCTCGAGTTTCGGCCCTCAAATGGAGTCTCTTAGTCCCAGTGAAAACAGAAAACCGCTTGTCATCTGACCGGCTCTCGCGAATAGTCGAAACCTACACACACAAACACAGAGATGTACGTAACAAACAGAACTCACCACTCACAACCCCCCAGAAAAAGGAAAAAAATAAAACACCATGACACCACATGGAAGTTTCTATATATGAACATCCCATCTGATAAAATAATAACCAATGTTTTAAAAAACAGCCAAGGGTTAACAATCTCTATGACAGAAATAGCAGCGACATTTGTCCTTAATCTCGACAATATCACAAATACGAACTACTCAAAACCACAATTAATTTTGACACAAAACCACATGTATCCTCCAGAGGAAGCACTCTGAGTAGGATCACACTGTAAACTACAAATCTGTAAGGAGTGAAATTTAGAGTTTTGTCATTAACTAACTCCATTGATCATAACTTAAAAACTCACATTAGATAATAGGATATCCAGATTCATAAACATACAAGTAAAGGCTTAGTAATGATAACTTCTGAATGTCCAAGTTGGTAACTGATTCCCCAGCCGCCGTATCCCAAATCGAAGAGAAAATAAAAGGGGAAAAAACAAATGGAAGAGAATGAAAAAAGAAAATGAGGGACGGACCTTGAGATGAATTTCGCCTACGGGCTTTCGTCGATAACCGACGTGATTCGAATTGCGGTTGCGAGAGATCATGCGAGCGGATTCCTCGCCAATAACCTTCGATCCCTTCTCGGTTTCGGAGTTTACAACAATCTTGTCGCATCCGTGAATCTTGTAGTACGAGAGGACGCCGTCTTGGAGCACGAACCAGCGCGATCTCCATCCTTTGCCATAGTTCACCCATTTGTGTAGAATTCCGGAGATTCCGTTCCCAACGAGGTCTTTGATCCTCACGTCCACCACCGCCGCTGGCGCGGACTGAGTGTATGCACGGCAGCCTTCGCTGCCATTAGTGATGCTGAGGGAGGCTTGACCCTGTCGGGGAGCGCAGTCGGATCTCGATGTGGCGGCCGCGGCAGGGATAGGGGGCATGGCGTGGGTGACCGGTGAGGAGTGGTCGGAAATGGCGGAGACGCAGCAGAAGGGATGCATTAACTGGGAATGAGGGTGGCTACTGAAGAAAGGGTCATGGTATTTACTCTGTGTGTCAGATTGGTGATTGGTATTGGTATTGGAATGTAGAGAAGAAAAAAAAAATGGAGAGTCAAGAGGAAGAAGAGAAGGAGTGCAAGTTCGCGTGAAGGATCCGGAGATTAAAAAACGGTTACGTTCTAAGTGCTCTAACTAAATAATTCTATTTATTCATTTTTTTGTTATTGATTTGACCAAATAAATTTAATCCATAGACAACCACTAGAGAAAACAGTGTATGCAGCGCTAGTGGAAGCACATGGCTTTCTACGTCTATAAAAAAAAATATTAAAAAAAAAATAAAGAAATATATAAAAAAGTTTAAAAAAAGTTATAAATAAAAAGTTTTATATTCTTATATATGTTTATATATAATTTTATATTCAAATATATATTATAATTTTATTTTATTAGTTGTTAATGTAAAAATATTAAAAAAAAAATACAATGAAAGCCTAAGAATGAGAATAAATGGTAATGGGTGAAAAAATATGAATTGATTTTTTTTATGTATATGCATGATTTATTAATTTTAAAAATATATAAATTTCAGTTTATTAAGCAAATCTGATATATTTTTATAATCAATATCTTTTAAAAATTATTTTTTAAGGAAAATATAAGATTTACTAATTAAAATAAGTTGATAAAATGTATACATTTTGAAAAATATTTATTTTTAAAATAACGATTTCAAATTTAAATAAACAAAATATGTCAACATATACATTTTTGCAAAATTTGCAAATAAGAGAGAAAGAGAGTGTAAATATTTTCATCATGTTTTTATAAATACTTTTAGTTATTACTATATGATAAATAACTAATTCGTTTAAAATTACTTATATATATAAATAAAGATCTATTAATTTTAAAAACAAAACTTACAAAATTATATCTTTACAATTTTTTAATAATTTAAAATAACAATTTAGATATAAAAAATTATATTTAAAAATTAAGTTAATCCATTTATATATAGAGATTAAATTTAAATTATCTAAATTAAAAATAATTTAAAATTTATATTTTGTTGTCTTCTTTATTAAATTTTATTCTAATAAATCTCGTGTCTTTCTTCTTCCAAAATAGTGTGCTATGTACAGAGGAATGAATGTAATATGTGGTCAGCACACGTGGATTTTCATGAGTGACATAAGCAAGCTCTGCATAAAAAGTCCTTTTACCTTTCTACATGTTGGAAGAGATCAAACTAAACTAACTATGTTGCATAAAATTATATATTGACATTTATTTATTTTTTCTCTAATTTAAATGATCTTATTTTACACTTTTTTTTATTATCTTGTCAAATAAAACACAGAGACAGAACTAACAAAATTAAATTATTTTTAAAATACTATGAGATAAAAAATTGTTATTAAGCATTTAGTTTATATATAAAGAATGATTAAATTTATATATTTTCAAAAGTTAAAAAGTAAATTCATCAATTTAAATACATTATCTTTTAACTTTGTTTCTATAAACTTTTTAAATACATTTTATAATAATTTTGATCCCAGGGATCAGAAACAGAAGTTTCATGTGAGGGAGAGTGGTCCAAAACAGTATTATATATATATTGTGATTCTTAAACTTCATGACATAATTAATGTACTCCACTACCTTTCTCAATCAAATTTATGATCAATTGGAGAGTGTATGATGATTTTATTAACTTTTATGCAACTATTTTGAAACTTTGAAGAAATATATAAAATAGGGAAATGAATTATAAAAGGTTACTGTCATATATGAAATACATACGCATGCATGCTTAGGATCTTGGAGCGAAAAGAAGTGAAAATAACATATGATGCATGCATGCAATGCAAACTATTTGAACTGTTGGTGTCTCTTCTTCCACGTGGCCGAACCAAGTTTTCTTCTCACATGATTATCCAAAGGATCTTTGACTAATCTTTTTTCATTAATCATGTGTTGTTATCATTCACACATTTCTATTCTTATTACTGTACACTCTGTCCGTTTCATGCACATCCCGTGCTTCTCCTTGTCCTTCACTCAGACTCTTCCCAACTCCAACTATATATAATTTGTCCCCATTTTCCCAAACCAATAGTAATTTATCTTATACACCTATCTTGGTTCTATATGATTCTTTATACTACTACCATCAAATGTTACAAGAAGATGTACATTTTATTTTCATGAAAAATTAGGTTAATAATTTTTAATTATATTCATATTTAATATAATATTTCAATTTAAATATGCTATGGATTAATTGTTTTGTTCATCTAATAATCTCTTATCTGTCCCATAAATATCAACCTACTTACAAAGTATTTGAAATACTTAAAGTCTTCTATAAAATAATAATAATAAAAAAAAACTAATTATAAAATAAATTAAATATTACAGAAAAAAATTAATTAATTTAAGTTACTGATTTAAAGTTTCCAAAATACTGAAAAAGTCTTTATATGCCTAAAAAATGTTATAATATAATTAATGTTAATATGAATGTTAGACATGCTTGAGGTGACATATATATGAGTGTGTGATAATGACATGTATCCACTATTTACTATCTTCAAATGCCTTTTTAAATAATAATAAATATATTAATTTTTTTATTATTATAATGGAAGACAAAGAATGCAACTTTATGTGTTATGTGTGTGCTGGAAGTGTTCAAAAGAATTCATACAACCCTTTATATATATATATATATATATATATATATATATATATATATATATATATATATATATATATATATATATTAGTCAACCAACTGAATTAGAGCATGTACTTATTGACTTATTTTAAATCTAAGAACTTTTTAACGGTACTTTAATTTAAAAATGATATTTTTATAACTTCTTACGGAAAATAAATTTTTGTTTATTTGATATCAAAACTATTTTAAAAAAATATTTAAGATTATATATATATATATATATATATATATATATTAAAAAAGGTTTGTTTTAATTGACGGGAAGGTCAGACACAAATAGTGATTAACTACCCTTCAAATAAAAAACTCCGTCGCACTATTTGTTAGGTGATATCAAAATATTAATAAAAATCATAGATATCCCTAAATCATTCATTAAAAAAAATTAAGCATAGTTTTATGTCATTTGATTCCTTCAAATATAAGATTAATCATATTTTTTTTAAATTATATTATTTAAATTATCTAAAAATTACTCACTAAAATATGAATTAAAAAAACTTTATTCCATAACATGTTTTATGCTTACCATCTTATGATTATAGCAATTTTAATTTTTAATCCATAATATTACATCTATTTAAAATAAAAGTTTACTTTTAGTTTATTTCCTAATAACCAAAACAAGTGATAAGAAATATTATGGTAGAAATTATTTTTTAATAAAAATTAAAGTAAAACAATTATATTTATATGAACTTAAAGCATAATAAAATATTTTATAAAATTAATAGTTTTGAAAATTGTGTTTCAGAGCTACGAATACAGCTGGAGATAGAGACAATGGTGTTACATGGTGATGTAGCATGGTTTTAGGGCATGGATCCACACTTATCGGGTAATCATTTTCCTGAAACTAAGGTTGGCATTGGGTCACTTCAATGTCTGGTTAAAGATGATGGGATAATATGTTGAACAGTGATTGAATCAAGTAAAGACACAGATCAAGAAACAAAAAGAGCAACCAAACCCAACTACACCAATCTTTCCCTTCCCCTGCGAAATCATTGTTCCCTAGTTGTAGTCCAAGAAATATCACAAGGTTGCATTCTTATTCACTAAATAATATTTAAACCTTCAAAAGAAGTTACAGAAAAATTAAAATATATAATAAAATTAAACCCTCAGAAATTAGCTCCATTTATGTGCAAACTATTCACTTTTTAAAAGTAAGTAATTATAAGATGACTATGAGTTTAAAAGATACTATTGTTCCATATTTTATTTTGTAATTTCTATATTAATATTTTCTTCATAAATACTTAATAATAATATTATAGGGGATGATTTGTTTATGTATTTATCGAATATGGTATAAGATAGATGATATAAGTTAATTTTTGAATCTGTCTCGATAATCAATATAATATAAATAATCGTAATATTTTAATAACATCTCATTGAGTATTTAATTTGAACTTTATTTGAAAGTAATGAAAAACAATCAAGAAGACATTGTCAAATAATTAAAAACCAAAATTTGAAATCTTTCATAGCTGTCTAATAAAGAAGAACCAAAGACCCTACTACGTTTGATTCAATGAAGGAAATGATGAACTAGGTCCTAGCTAGAGATGGAAAACGACGGATAGTAATGGTAAGATTGTTTTGTTTGCACTAAAAAACCCAATTAGAGTACTTCATAAACTCAATATTTTGTGATTATGCCAAGTTTGTTGGTGAATAGTCCTACGTTTGGTTGTAGCAACATATTCATGTTTAAAGAATCATTTAAATCATAAATATGTGTGTTTGTTGCTTCACACTTTCAATAAAATGACTAATGAAATTGCATAAAGTTGTAGATCTCTTGCGCGACCTAATGAGGAAAAAACCAATGTAAGTTTAAAGGAAATTCGTAAATGAAATACGATTGTATTCTGTTAATTTTAAAATTTGTATGATATTTCAAATTATAGAAATTTGAATGGGTTCGATTAAATTGTTTATATTTTTTGAATAAATTTATTTAAATTTTTTATATTAAAGACAATTCAATTTCTACTTTATTCAAGAAAATAATATGTTGAATTTTATTTTATTTTCATAAAATTAGAAAATTTATCATGTTTAAGTAATTAAAGTACTTTATTTTTTTAAATGTGTCATTTAATATAAGAGTGAATCACATAAAAAAATATTTAATTAAACTCTTAAAATTATAAATTTATCAGTCTTCTTTACTTATATTTTTCTCATTTTCAATTTTCTAATTTTAACTTAATATTAAATTTCAACATTGTATCAAAAT